CCACCACCTGTAAGCCAGAAACGGCACGCGGAATCAGGAAGATGGTAAACTGGCTGCTCAAGTTGGTCTAAGAGGCAAGCCCCATTCCACCCTGGAATCGAAACACATTTTTGTTGAAGCCTGTAATATTTAAATCCAATATTTGTTTCATATATTGAATTTGGCAACTTAACTGTTAACTGCTTTGAATCCTTTTGGTGAAAAAAAAGGTATAGATGTGTAACAGCATTTTGGTTCTGAAGACACAGCACCCCTCAAATGATACAAAAATATTGTCGGTTTTAGTTCCATTTTTAGTATTAAGATGACGCTTATCAGGAAGCTGGGTGGAACAAAAACTTTGGTGCATCCCAAGGACCAATAATAAAAGAACGCATGACCAAACCAGTTGACTTTCAAAAATATTTCTCTTCGGAGCCTGATGAACTCTCTTGAAATCATACAGCTAATCAGACAGTTAACTTGTTCTTATGATAGCTCTAGAAACATCTATTGTGACAATAAATTTTTATCTGCGATTATAATACTTATCGATCAAGTCAAATATAGATATTATTCTTAGAAGTTGGCTAAATATTCTGGTTAGAATCTGTAAAATAATTTAAGTAACCACCACAACTGACATGAGAAACTTATTTTTTAAATTCAAAGTATATAATAAGTGTCTATAATATTCCTAACAACAATCTGTCCATTTACATTTGAACATTTCTATCTATTCATTCACTCACGTTTGGTTGTATCATGTTTAGATCTCCCACAATGCATTGTGTTTGGTGCATAAGGAGAAGATATGAATTACATGCAAGACTAGTTTGCAGCAAATATACACAGAGACTTTATGATTAACTTATCTGCAATTTTCCCCCCAAACCTACCTTTCAGGATCAGAACATATTTACAGAAAGTAAACTGTAACACTGAAAAACACGCAAGCCATAACATAATCAAAGTGATTAAAAAACAAAAGTTTCAGGTAATATTGTCAGTTTTAACTGCTCCTCCAACAGAGTGCAAAAAGTTTACCTGTTGCAGCTCCAGGTTAGTGAGATCAAGGTCACTGGCTGCTGGCTGATCACAGGAACACTGTGGTGTGACTGTCCCTTTCAGCGAGGATGGTGGATTCTCTTCAGAGCAAAAGATAGGATGGTGATTCACTTCAAGCCAAAGGGCATCATACCAGGTCAAGCATCAACATTGTTTTACAGTCTTACGTATAGACCTAGAATTCAGAGGATAGAGACTTGACGTTGTCTCTGAGTAAGAGCAGAAATTAAAGAATGAATGTCGGGAGGAAGGAGGTACATTATTCCAGGAAATGCCAAGGTCAGGTAGGAGTGAGGTGGGAGAGCTGGAGGAAGCTTAGCTGCTGCATCTGGACACCACTGATATCTCCACACTGTTTACATTTTCCAGGCAGAGCATAAAGAATTTTTTTTTTCAATGAAGAAACAAAAACAGGAAATTACAGCATATGTAATGTAACTAAGAGCTAATTTACCATAATATTCCCGGTCTCCGCCACCAAAACGGGCTGAAAGGAAAAAAAGATATTACTCTGCTGCAGCCATAAGTATTTTACTTCATTTTGTTTGACTTTCATTTTTTTCAGCTATTTTTTGAGCCTAAACTTATATGATTGACTGATTGGGTAGCACTGTGTGTGTGGAGTTTCTGTGGGTTTATTCTGGGTTTTCTCCATCCATCCATTCATCTTCTGTATCCGCTTGTCTTATTCAGGGTCATGGGGATCTGGAGACCATCCCAGAAGCAATGCGTACATGGCAGAGAATAACCCAGGTCAGGGTGCCAACCCATCACAGGGCACACTCACACACCATTCACAGAAACATTCATACCTATGGGCAATTTGGCGACTCCAATTTACCTCAGCATGTTTTTGGACCAAAAAACAAGGGGGAAACTCTACAACAACACAGGGAAAACAGGCAAACTCCACACACATAGAGCCCAGGTATGGACTCGAACCCAGGTTCTGGATGCCGTTAGGCTGAATGGTGTCTTGAAATTGCCCACTGTGTTTAGGTCCCCTTTGTGGTACGCTGGGATTCCTGGAATAGGCTCCAAGCTCACTGTGACCCCATGCAGAATATAAATATGACAAACAAAATCAGTTGACTATGTCCACCCAATAACCAAACAGTCATTCATTACCACCCATCTTCTAACCACAAATCCTGGTCAGCATCACCTGAAGCCTATCCCAGGCAGGACAGGGCACAGGGCACAGGGCACAGGGCACAGGGCACAGGGCACAGGGCACAGGGCACAGGGCACAGGGCTGGAGTACACCTTGGACAGGATGCCAGCCCCTTGCAGGGCACATACATGAACACACTCACACACATAATCTTGCTCTATGGGCAATTCAAAGACAATACAAAGAGAACACACAAATTCCAGTCTGAGCAAGATTCAAATCACAATTCTGGGACGTGAGAGGCAACAGTGCTGCCCGCAGAAGCATTACACCTTCCTCACTCATTCAGATTTGGTTTAAGTGAAAAAAAAATTAATCGGCAAATACAAATAACAGTGATTTAAAAAGTCAAAGCGATAATAATGGGTTAATGGATTAAATCCATCGTCAAATACGCAGACTGCAAATCGGTCATAAGTTTCAGAAAAAGATCTTACCCCAGTCTTTGAAAAGGCTCCTATATCGAATCATCACGTAAAAGATGCTGAAAATAAAAAGGGTTCCTATGACGATGACGGCCACCCAAGTGCTGCTCTCATCTGTACAAACATCGACATTATAGTGACTCAGACACATCACACTGCTGATGTTGGCTCAGACATTGCCATGGATGCTACTAACGCTTATTAAACACACACATGATATGACATCACAGCATCATCTAAATTTAAAGACCTTTCCCTTAAGTCCTCTTTTTTTAAGGAAAGCATGACGTTTGTTAATTTGCGAGCATGATTACTTGACAAGATTTTTTGGAGGGGGGAGGATAGAGGAAAACTGAGCGAATGCCTGGATTAGTGTTCAAGGTTGACACACAAAAGAACAGAGAGAGCAGGGAGGGAAGGAGTGTGAAGGTAAGCAGACTGATAAGATGGGAAACTTTATTTGAACTTCATTTTAAAAAAAAAACAAAAAAAAAACAGTCAGTCAATTAATGCCTAAGAACGACTTGGCTGGTCCGGTTAAGGCTGAAAACTCCAATTTGTTAACTGTCGACTGTTTTAAGAACAACTGCACTGAAGACGAAAAATGCAATTTGTGATTTTACATATATGATGATGATAATTAAAACACAGGTAAATATCTGTCCTGTCACACGTGCTGTATCGACACAGGTACACCAACATGTTTGCTGCAATTGTGAGAAAACTCATACTCAGAGAGGGGGGGTGCTGTGGCTGGCTTTCTAGGTTCCATGTAACGTTGGTATTGCAGAAGTCAGAGCTGCAGACACAGCTGACCGTGTTCTCCTGGCGTGTGAAGACGTGGCAGGTGGGATCCAGGCAGTTAGTCTGGAAAACGTCACAACCTGTAACGACAACAGAAGATGCCCCTGTAGTGCCCCTCGTGGTACCGGTGTCCATCAGCGGTGAAATGGCCAGTCCCCTTACCCAGCTGCTCTGGCACGGCCTGCCCATTGGCAATCCTGTAGAAGCCCATGCAGCAGCGGGTGCTGGCACAGTACTGTACCGTTCCACTGACGTTGCCTGCCCATTTCACGTTGGCATTGCGGGGACTTGTCAGGAACTCACATCTCCTCCCTTTGAACTCGGCTGGAGCTGACAGTCCGACTCGGAACTGTCCTAAAATACAATGGAGAAGAACAAATATAGTCCCACAAAGAACAGCATTTTATTGAATGCAAAGTAATGGAGTTGTGGACTCACCGAAAAGGAGGATGACTTTCCATGGCTGCATCGTTTTTAGTGATGTGCCCTCTGTGCCAAACGGTGTCTTTCGGTGTTCTAATCGCTCGCTCTTTCGTCGCTGGGAAGATGTCCAGTGTGGGAAACTCCCCGTCACACACAGCACCTGCAAAGCGCACACACAAACACAGTGCGGGAAGGCTCGCGGAGCTGATAACGCCGACAAAAACTGAAAAACAGTTTCACAGACGCATTACCGCATGTTTTTTAAATACTCATTCCCGTGATCGTGTCATAAAACAGTAGAGCGACGAGTATCAATACGTACCCGCCTGTTAACTGGAGTAGGGGGGCAATCCCAGTCCACAAAGAGCAGGAAGCTGGGATGCGCACTATCTGAGATGCCAAAGTATCACACGCTACGTCAGTCAGACTGGATGTTTTTAGATTGCGGAGGAAACTTGAGTAACATGCCAACTCTGGAGGTGTGAGGCAACAGTTCACCATTTCACCATTATTAATTATTATTACTTATGTCAGGGATGGCCAATCTTATCCGCAAAGGGCCGCTGTGTATGCGGGTTTTTGCTGCAACTCCCTAATTATATTACTGAGTAGAGGACTGAGTGGCTGAAGAGTCCCCACACTGGGGTTTGAACAGCTGACCTACAGGTTATCACAAAAACCTGCATATACACCGACCCTTTGTGGATAAGATTGCCCACCCCTGACTTATGTAATATTTTAGACTGCGGTAAAATTACTTAACTTTTTCTCTTCATGTGTTATAAAACACATTTCAATATTCTGATACCCATACGATCTACATTTAAGTTACAACAACGAGTAACATAATATATTGCACGACATTTGTGTTCCTAATAATGGCACTCGAGGTAAAAATACCAGGATATACGTTACTTAGATAGGAGTGTAGTGCTACCAGTTTCATTATTAATAATATACGTGTGTATAATTACTTTTGTAATAGGCTATGTCTGCAACACATTTTTTCTGGTTACAGTCCTAAAAGAGAAGCACGTACTGTTTTACGACTAAGGATTGTGATTTTCGAGCACAAACCCTTGTCATTTTTTTTAAATCCCATAGTTAATCTGCCATCCTTCCGGTTTGGAATCCTAATTGGCTTCAGGAAAATACAATTAAAATGCATGCGAACCAATTAAAAACAATATCCCGGTGAGTGGTTTGCAGGCTGATATTTAGGCAGATATTCGTACGCATTTGAATTTTGTGTTGCGATTTGTGGAAACGGATATAATGGAACAGGTAATGATATTTCTTTATTGTTACACGAAGAGTCGTAAGGACATATTTACTTTTTCGAAACTTTCCAGGAGCTACACAATTAGATCGGAAATACGGCTCACTGCACTAATGCATATTTTTCTCGGTAGACTCTGTCGTCGTTTTCTAGGGACGTCGCAGATATTTTCGCAGAAAATTCCGACAACGATAAAACCTTCTACGGATTTTCTGACTGCGAAATAAGCGGTGTCGGCGATTTGAAGGTTGGCCCTGGACGTGCATATTCATGACTTGATGGTCAGAAATAAATGTCATCTACCAGTTGTTTGACTCGAAATGTCGTTCAGTTTATACATACATACTTTTAACATGACGCCTAACATGCAAATAATTGTAATGTTATGACATAAGGAGTTTGGCTGTTTAGTATTATTACAAATTGTGAGTGTTCTTAATAGAATTTTTAGGTTGGGTACTTTTTAAAAATTTTAATATAAAAGATTGTTTCCCTCAGATTTTACCTTCCACCCACCCCAGTGTCTGCTGGTACTTTTTGATGTTTCATTAACTAGTACTGTTATTTGTTCTCCATTTTCCAGAGTTCGGATAGCGACGACGCTGCTGTCAAACACAAGGTCCCAGATCGCAAACCTTCCCACCGTTTTACCATTAGGGTGGCCCTGCGTTCCCGCGCAAACAATACCCAGAGCGAAGATGAGGATGAGAAGGGAGAATGGCCTGAAAATGATGGGAAAACAGAGTTTAATTTGAAGGAAAAGGGGGAATGTGGCGAGCCGTTACCTCCAGACTCGGACGATGAAGCGGAGGGTTACCTGGAAAAACGAGCCTTAAACATCAAAGCTAATAAAGCAATGGTATGAGCTAGGAAGCAAGTTCACTTAATCATTTAAATGTATTTTTTCCCCCACTAACAAACCAAAAGTATGTACAAGTGTCCTGTTACTCTTTATTGTATGGCGAGAGCTAGGCCTCTTAACTCCACAGTATTAGGGTGCAAGTTCCATGAAACATGTGGTTGGTGTTTATGGCTTTGAAGCAGCGGCCTGCTATAATCTCCATATCTTTTGGCCTTGCAGCTGGCTCGGTTAATGGCAGATCTGCAGATGATGCCTGGTGCTGTACAGAAGAGCCCACAGGTGGATCGACCAAAGGGCCAGCGGAGCGTGAGCGAGCATTTCTGATGACGTCTTTGGCCTGGTTGTGGATGAATCCATTCAGTGTCTATGGTGCTATTAACCAGGCGTAATGATTGCTGGATATTGTCTTATCCGTCAATAACGGCGTGTTAACTTGAATTTCCCCAGCGGGCTCCCCCCTCCACTCCAGCTGCCAGTGGAGGTCGGCGGTACCCTGAGCGAGCCTCTAGGAGGCAGACTCGCTCCATGGGAAATTATCAAGAGACTTCAGTCCCCCAGAAAGAGAAGGATTTGGAGCTTACTCTTGAGGAAGAACTTATGGAGGTATGCATTGTGTATTGTGGCAGCAAATGTTGGAATTATAACTCAAATATAAGATCAGGGTTTGGGAATATTTGTTCTGGAAGTATGTGTCAATATGCTTTCTGCGAAACTGCAGATGTGATGCAGTGAGGATTCTGGCACTTGCAGGTCCGACAAGCTCCTCGCCGCCGTGGCAACCCTCGAATAAATAAGTCCAAGCCTCACATCATGCGGGCGGTGGAGGAAATCACAGAAGACGAGCTTAATCTGGTGGCAGATGGCATGACAGACAAAGTGTACAACAGTGCCACCGTGAGTCTTGACTATAATTGTGCTTATTCACTTTTAAATGGAAGTTAGGTTTGCTGTAAAGAGCTTGTTGAACCTGTAACCTCAGGGCACCACGTGTCATCAGTGTCGGCAGAAGACCGTGGACACAAAAACCTGCTGTCGCAACACTGACTGCCGTGGGATCCAAGGTCAATTCTGTGGACCCTGCCTACGGAACCGCTACGGTGAAGACGTTCGTAAAGCTCTGCTTGACCCGGTTGGTGATTCAGCTCCTGGAATTGTTGTTTTCAGACTTCAAATTCAATAGCAACCAATGTAAAGTGAAGCATCGGAAATATCCTGAATGACCTTGCTTAGACACATGCTGACTCCAAGACCCCTCACTGCCTTCAACCCCCAGGGGTGGTGGTGTCCTCCGTGCCGTGGAATCTGCAACTGCAGCTTCTGTCGTCAGCGAGATGGTCGTTGCCCTACTGGCATCCTATTTCCTCTGGCCCAGTACCATGGCTTCAATGATGTCCACTCTTACCTCAACAGGTCAGGTACCTGGGGTGGGATTGATATTCTTACTCTGAATGAGATCTCCCACAGCTAATAAGGCACTTTACTTTGCACACCTATTACTCACTGTCATTGCCCATCTTTCTCAATTATGTGTATTTATGCTCTATATTCTTGTATGTTTTGGGTCTTTTTTTCTTTCCTTTTTGTATTGCACTGTATTTATGCTTGATGAATCCAGAAATCAGGTTAAAGCATTTCACTACAGTCACGCAGTGAATGATTTCATGTGTGACAAAATGTTAAACTTGAGGATTTCTGTGGCACCTGGCCTTTTCTGATTTGGTAATGGGGCTGGCATTTCTGGGGTAAAGCTCACTCTTAACCAGTATTGGTAATTATTTCACAGCCTTCGGAATAAACTGAAAAATGAAGAGGATGAGTGACCCACTCAAACACACTCAACTGCACTGCTGTTGCATAATTTTAAATGAAATAAAGGCTTAAATATGGTAATATCAAGTAGTTCCTCTTGTTCATTTCTAACTTTCACTGGCCAGTCTAGGATATCAGATCATTAGAAATGGGTTTAAAAGCAAATTACTTATGATCAGGAATGTGTACTTAAATGGGACAAATTTGTCTTTACCATTATTGAACGTTACCATCCAGTTTGACCACAAGAGGGCACAATTTGCTAAGATGGCCTTTCTACTTTTCACAGCATTCAGCTTAATACACATTTGATGCTACTCCTCCTGCCTGGTACGTTCATTGTTCAGTTATGTCCATACACAGTTAAGCACAAAATTACTTGAACCTATGGCAAATTGGTTTATTCTGAATTATTTGATAAATTAGATTTCTTACCTGGAAATGGCATAAGCATGTAATGACAGCAAGACATTGTGCTAGAGATGGTCAACTTTTCATATTTAGACATTTTACATTTTTACAAAAAATTCATTCATACCCTTAATCAATGGCAAATCTGTTGACATCACAGCAATCAAACTATTGTTAAGCAAAAAGCTACAGTGGGATTTTGGATGACTTTCTCTTTTGTAAACATCTACAGGCTTTCAAGGTAGGACAGCTACCTGCCACTACTCTGGTTTCCACTTCCCTACCCAGAGACTCAAGAGGATTCAGGTCTGGACTGGCTTGGTGACTCCAGAATGTTTTAACTATTTCTTGACCACTATACTGGGCGTTTTAGATCATTGTCTTGTTGAAAGATCCAGTGCTGTCCAAGGCCAAGTTATCCTGTGGACTGCCTGATGCTCTGCTCCAGAATCTTAATGGAGTCCCCTTTTTTCATGTCACTTACTTCAAGGCTACTTGGCCCATTGGCTGAGAAACACCTTACATTCCCACCACGCTTGACTGTGAGGATGATGTTCTTGGGATTGAATGCTTTATTCTCTTGGCACACGAAAGCCAAGTCCCTGTGTCCAAATAATTCAATTTTTTTCTCATCCAACCACAGAACTGATAACCAAAAGCTTTCTTCTTTGCCCAGGTGAGCTTTTATGCGCCTGTCTTAGAGAAGTGGAGTACAACTCTTTTGGCATCCCTGGAGAACAGCCTTGTGCAGTGTCCGCTGATGTGTCTCTCAGGATGTCAGTACCCCAATTGCTCAGATGTGTCAGGATTGGCAGTGATCACTGGATTCTTGGTCCCTTCATGCCAGAGCAAGGGGTCATTTCTCACATCCTACCAACCCTTAAGGTTTTTCACAGTATAGAACCCCTTTTGACGCTTTGCACTGTGACCATTGGAAAGGCTACAGAGCCAAATCCAGCATGTGAGCAAACACAAGGCTCAACCAGAGGTCCTCACTAAGCTCTTTAGCACTTTAGCCATGACTTGCAGTTGACTAGCAGCAGACTAGAGAACTACTGCATCAGCTGTGCTCAATTTATAGTCGATTAGAACGCTCAAGAACATGGTAGTAATTACTAGGACAATATGGAATGGTACATTCTCCAATATTTGCGTAGTTTTAAGGGGAAAGAACAATAGTGGACATGGTTTTTCTTAACTCTAAAAAAAGAAAAAAAAAAGGGACAAAATTTGACTAATATGACACCTTGCCATCTTTTCATATACTTATGTCATTAACAGGAAGATGAAGCCTGTTAGTCAAATTCATTATACATCAAAATTTGGCATGAATTTTGAGCTTAACTCTGTACCTGCACACACTGCAAGCTGAATGTGTGGATGCAAAGCTGCCGATGCTTTGATCTAGACAAACACTATCATGGGATTACAAGCCAGCAGGCATGAGGAAGCTATAATTCTTAAAGAATAGTCTCAAAGTTTCTGAAGTTGGTCCAATGCCTACCATGACCCAGTCTTAAGACCTCTAACATGCCACTGTAATAAAATGAACGTTACCATAAAGCACTGATTAAAAGCAAAAATTGATGTTAAAATATATGTGCACTTATTGCCTTTTGCCAGAGTAATTTAAAAAATTGAGTTCAACATGATATGCAGTGTCATAATTTAAGGTTAAAGGATATTGAAGCAATATTTCCAAGATGCAGCTAATCTACTGTATGAAAGCCTCTTGATGGTTTAAACAGGGCAGCGCAACACATACATTTGCTAATTGAACTGGACCAGTTCAGAGTAAGAGGCTTGTCTGGCAGACAGACCCTGTCAGGAGAGCTCAAGCTCCAAGTACAATAATTTACTATAAAAATGACACCCTAGCGATACACTTCAATTAGGCAATATTACGAGTATGACCTGACACACACAAAGGCCCAGGTTCCTAAAGCAGAGCGAGGCATGTCTAACTGCGACGGGGGGTATGTCATGTCGAAACCAATGACAGAGCCGCAAATGACAAACACCACACGACCTTTGTGTTCATAAGGACTTTAATCCCACTGTTGCCATCTGCAGTAATGGAACCCACAAGTAAAAGATCAGCCCCCTCATATATGTATTTATAAAACAAAAACAAAATTGTATAAAGAATTCATGATGTTAAAGGGCACCAAGTTCCCTGGAAAGAAGTTACCTTAGGAAAGGAGTCTATACCAGCCAAATACTGTCCCTGGCATTATTACGTGTATATAAATATAAATATATATATATATATATTTTAGTCACCTGACATTCCCAAAGAGATACTTTAAATAATAGTTGTATACTGCCCTTTAAAAGGTTTAACATTCTTCTCTCCTGAAACTACTTCCGATTTCAGAGCCCGTCCCATGTTTGCCTGTAACGACATTCAGCCGATTGTGACTAAAACAGTATAAAAAGGTACACCTTAAACACAACGTTAAAAGATAGCTCGCCACCAGTTAGACCTTTTTAATCTGACGGACAAAAAAAAGCAAAAAAAAAAAAAAAAAAGAAAACCGACATATGGCACAGCTCGACAATGTCATTTATGCTTCCACAATAACTAGGATCTCCTGTGGAAACAAGTAAAGAAAGAAAAGCCAACCCTGATCCACAACAAAACAAGCAACTTGCTACAGCAGTCCAGGTAGTGGAAGTGACAGGGGCCAGGTTCCACACGGCTCCAGGACTCTGGACAGTACACCACCCCCCAAGCCTACAGTCCATCTTACCTTAAGTCCAGGACAATGGGAACCATTCCCCTTCCAGAGATCTGATATTGTGTACAAGACCTTTGGTTTGAGCATAAATTTTAACGTTTGAAATACACGCTAAAAAAAAAAAAATCCAATATTAACGAAACTGCGTTCCTCAATTAAACAAGCTAATTCTACAGGAACTGAACCCAAAAATATAGATGAACATGAAAGACAGGATGAGAATGAACCGTCCCGTCACGTTGAATGACCGACGTCCATACCTGGAGTGACAACTTTCTGAAATGCATACAACGGATGTTCTCTCTATGTCCAGCTATATACTTGGTCACACAAGATCTATTTATATAAAAATTATAACAATAACAAAAAAGCAACAATAATAATGATGATGATGATGAATATAACAGATTTAAGATTGTTCGTGTATGAGGCACACAGCAGAAAGGCAACATCTGGCGACCATATAAGTTGATCCTTACTACGGTGAGTTGCTGTAGATTTCCAAATCTAGAAAATATATATACAAAAAGCAAGCTATCCAAAAACAAAGCAAACAAAAACTGCTGACAGGTTTATCAAAGCATGATGGCTTATATGTGTACCTATATTATCGTTCATATAAAAGGCAAAAAAAAAGCCATAAATTCAGTGTCCTTTCACCCACAATTAATTAGTGCTCCTGGGACTGATGCTGGTGGACCCAGTTCGGCTCTCCATAGCCGCAGAGTGGTCTACACGTCCACTGACAGTCAGAGCAATCCCAGAATGACTTCGCCCAGCACCACGGTGACTTAACGAGCACTACAATGGAGTACGCTTCTGCTGGAGAGGGTACAGCCGACCTGAGAGTAAAGGGGAGCCGCCGGCCAAGAGCAGCAGCGAGGGCGCTCACTGGGAGAGTGGAGTGTGTGGTTTGGGACAGGAGCCTTCCTCACGGCAAACTCCCGATAATTCAGCAGGGTGTCCTTTGTAGCTCCAAGTGGTTGTGGAGGAAGGGGAGGGGGCAATTTTAAAGGGTAGGAAAGGGGACAATAAGAAATAAAATAAAATAGATACACTGGAGTACATGCACGTTTCTGCTGGAATCCTGACTTCTTCCCCCTTTTGCAATTTAACTTAATCAGCTCCAGTTCCCTCAGACACAAAGGATCCTCCAACTAGCACCCTGCTTTCCAGATCTGCTCTCCCCAGAATATCAGCCACACCCCTCCACAACCCTCCCCCAAGTCTTGCCAACATTTACACATCCCCACCCACCCCAGTCCAGCAGTTCCAAACCCACGGCCCACGTCTCATCTCGCCACCGTCATTGGCCTCAGTAGCCGTTGCTGTTCATGTTAATGGAGTGGATGTCAGCCACCTGCATGACATTGACGCCGCTTCTGGCTAGCCGTGAGATGCTTTCGGGCGACAGCGTCTCCATGGTGATGAGGGCGTGCTGGTCTGATGGGACTCCGCCTGTGGCCACAGAGTCTGAGCCAGTGGTGGAAGAGGTGGTTTCACTGGTTGCGTTGGTAGCAGCTCCCTTCTTGTTCAGGTGGGTTTTGATGTGCTTGGACAAGTGATCACTCCGCATGAAGCGTTTGGGACATTCTGGGCATGAGAACTTCTTTTCTCCTAAGGACCAAATGCTCTTGTTAGGAGATATGTAGTGTTTAGCTTAAAACAAAAACAAACCCACAGGACCAAACGATCTTACCAGTGTGCGTCCGCTTATGCCGCTGCAGCTCATCAGACCGAGTGAAGCGCTTCCCACAGAAGGACCAGGAGCAGACAAAGGGCCTCTCTCCAGTGTGCCATCGCAGGTGGGCCCGCAGGTGGGAGGTCTTGCCATACACCTTCCCGCAGCCTGGGATGTGACAGATGTGCTGCTTTTTCTTGCCAGGGTCACTGCTGCAATAATGTAGACGCAAGTCAGTAAAGTTAACATCTTAAAGGTGGCCACATACTTCAAACGAAAAATCGGTAGAAAAAGTCGTTTTAGCAATATGACGTTGTACGAGTGGTGATTACAGGCACACAGCCTGTGTTGGGTCCTGAAGGCAAACAGTTTCATTTTTCCCCAGAATCATGTGACGTTTGTGGAATGCTTGCATTTCATTAGCATGTAACCTTGAGTGTCAGTTAATTGTTGCCTTCCCTCTGTGTGCTGCTGCTAGTATTATATCAACAGCAGCTGTTAATTGAATCAAGAGCAACTTGAATTTCTCCCACAATCACCACAATACTTTTATTTGTGCTCTTTGTGGGTCTCTTACATTGGAAACATTCCGCATCCTGTTGGGTTATGGCGTGACAGAATGAACGGCAGAAGCGTAGTTTTAAGCATGCAACATGTTCAATTTCATTTTGTCTGGTCCATTTAAAGTGTGCGGCCAACTTTATCCAGGCTCCTCCCTGCCAATTATACCCAATGCACCGCTAGGCCACTGGACTAGTGGGTTATAAGAATTGTTAGATGGACAGCAATGGTTTTCAGTCAACCATAAATATACAGATAGCTAAGATCAACATGCTCCAGATCACAAGGACTGAACCAAACTAGAAGCCACAAAGTTTGTGGCAACACCAAACGGGATCACTGCTACAAAACTTCTGCAAAAGTTATATTGTCGAGATTATGTATCACATCACACTTTACCTCTATAAATAAAAATGTTGAAGAGTGTGGAAACACACGCAGACACAAAATGGAAACCACTGAAGACACATTGTGATGACATGATGGATTGCGGATACATACCGTCCTTCACCCTCCTTGCAGTAGGGACAGGTACAGGCCTCCCGGCGTGTACGACGACTGGGAGGTTGTGGGCTGGTCTCTCCTCCATCATCTATGGCTGTGCTATCATCTAGGCTGTCTCCACCCACCCCACTGGTTTGCAGACCCTGGTCTCCTAAGGGAAGGAAGGAGCAACCGTCTTACTAAAACAGTCACTGGCAGCTACCCTACACATATCTGGACTACAGATTTTATATAAACATTAGGGAAGGGGGAAAAAAATGTGTGACCAGCATCACCAGTTAAATGCATAATTTTTGTAGGACAGTCACACTGCATTACCGTGGACAGATCTCCTTTGCATGCCAATACATGTCATGTGACACCTTTAACTAGACCTACCTAAAACACTTAAAGAATAATTCACTGCCATTTATAGTTAAAATTATCTGTTTAGGGCAGAAAGCAAAATGTTGTTGGGTTCATCCGAATAACCTAATGAGTTCTGACAATAAGTAAAACGAGTACAACAGAAATTCCTAGAAGTACCACACCCTGGTGTTTCATGACATCCATACTGGGGCCACTTTAATGCCCCCTGGGTCTCAGATACCTCAGAACTCCTCCCCACCTTCTTCTAAGAAGCAGGGGGCACCGTTCTGTTTGGACAAACTCACACCAAGTCTTATTCATGCTTGAAATCATGCAGAGGCAGGAACCAGCATTGACACTTTGGCTAAGAGCCAGACAAGCAACTAAAACTGTAAAATGGAGTGGTAAATGCGTACCAGACAGCCAGCTATGCATTTACACTATTGGTTTCTTGTATGTGGATCTTATCACAACTAGCAATTATGCCCCTCCCCCCACTCAAGGGAGTTCTCAGAAAAGAACAAAAACAATCCAAGCTGATCTTCCAGCCAATTAAACTGCACTGCCTTTTGAGGTAAGTTCTGTAGATGTCCAGGCACAAGTGTGTTTACCCCGTTACTTTATTATATCTGCTTCTGAGCTGAGAATTGACTCTCAGGAAATAGGAAGAGTGCCCAAGGACAGAGGGAAGGAAATTCGTAACCTGCCCTAAAGTCCAATGGAAAACCTGTAGCATATGCCTCACACACTAAAGCTCTGAGAGTATGACCCTTGCTCACTTCAACAGGAAATAAGAACAGTAAAGCGCTAGTTAAATAAACGGGACACGTGACTCGTCTCCTCCTCTCTAGAGGAGGGCGGTTTGGCCTGCGATAAGTCCACCCAGAGCCTGGGCAAAGTGGGCGGTGTCCAGTTACACCCATCCATTGTACCAGTTCTCTGTCAAAACACGATTCACACGCACCCACGTTGCTGCAAGTGCAAAGTGTCACATGCCATGAAGCTTACACCAGTCAGCTACTGCACAATACACAGCTTTTGCAAAAACCGACCAAACCAGTGCGGTCGGCAGAAAGAAAATAGGAAGCCAGCCCATCCTACCCAACATGTAGTCACTTTGTTATAATGTCAATTTTGCCTATGGCCCGACACAAACAGCTTCAGCCAGATTACACGTTATTGGCTATTAATGAGGGGGAAAAATATGTTCTGCTTTCTAATCAGGTATTGTACAACAAGCATCCTACAAATAACTTCAAGACTGAGGAGCAGAGAAAGCCAAAGCACAGCTAGAAATCCAGGTTAAAACGAAAGTGGACAACTTAACTGCAATGCAAAAAATGCCGCATGTCATTTTACAAATGTCAACCTGCTTAGCCTCCAAATAACAGATTGACAATCTTTCTCACAGTAGCTAACTCACCAAGGCAACATTGGCTACAACTAAAATTATCCCTCTCATATAGTACTGGGCTTATGACCCCTCACAAACACTTTAAAAATCACATGTACTTTTTACATGTTTGTTATTTTTACTCATTTACTATAACGTGAGTACAAGATGGATATCTCAGATATTTTTTCCAATGCCAATGCATTCATCAAGCAGAGTATTTAAACTGGACTGATTTCTATGTGTCACAATGTAGAAAAGAGCTGGCCCCATATTTAAAAGAGCTCCCTAAATTTTTCATTATGAAAATATTACCTTCTCACCAGTTTATTTGAATACATATTCCAATTTGCCTTTGCTTGCATAAAAAAGGACAATTTGGAAAGCAGCCCATTTCATGCAATCAATATTAGCATCCAATGGATTATGGTTTATTGACCAGCAAGGATCACACAGCATTAAACTGTCTTTTGTGTTCACATTGCTGTTAAATGCCGACTTTTGAGAAGCAATTGGCAGCTGCATCCCTGCTGTGGCCAGTTACGTAGAAACATCGCAAACAGCCCCTATGTTACACTGAGGGATTTTACACTGTCACAATCAAGCAAATATCAGAGGCAGAAATCATAAGCTAACATTCCAGCGCTAACAAAAGTTAAGAAGGTTTAATATATGCTTAATACAAATTTCATTTCAGAGACTTTCCCTTAAAGTGACACGTTTCTCAGTCCTCAAAGGAAAAGAAAAACTCCACCGTTAGTAAAAACACTAAAGGAAAGGCGACACCCGCCTATGCCTACCTGTTGCAATGGCAATGGGGACCCCCTGCAGCTGGTGCATCTGGAGGCCTGTATTGCTCAGTGTGTTCAGGTTGATGGTCTGCAGGCCAGGCAGCTGCACGGGGTTCACTGTGACCCCGCCTGCGCTGCCCGTCTGTGCCAACTGAGGAAGTGACTGCAGAGACTGTACTGGGGCGAGCGTGATCTGGGCTCCAGTGGGACTCTGCAGCTGCAGCGTCTGCCAACTGACTTGACCATTGGGGCCCAGGGTACGCACGAGAATGGGGCTGGCGTTGGGGATGGCTTGAATTTGCAGGTTCTGCAGGGCGTCCTGTGGCAGTGCCTGTGCAAAGACTTGTCCGCCAGCACCAGCCTGTAGGGTTTGCAGGGAATGTCCTCCTTGGAGAAGCTGCTGAGGCTGAATGAGAATTTGCTGTGGCTGCTGCTGTTGTTGGCCATCTCGGTTATCTGGCTGCACTGAGCTCTGGAAACTGCTGCTGCTCTGAGACTGCGTCCCACCTCCATAGGAGGTAGCTGCCTGAGTGGTAATGGTAGCCGTGGAGCTAGTGTAGTACCCAGTCCCAGTGGTAGAAGATACTGGCTGCTGTAGGAGCTGCTGGGAGGACCCTGAAGATCCAACCCCAGTGGCATCACCACCAGTGCCTCCTGTGGCTACAGGCAGAAGGGTGATGTTCCCATTGAGCGACACAGGCATGTTGGCCAAGAACGGAGTCTGGTTCTGTATGTTACCCAAGCCCAGGTTCTGCAGTGGGATCGCTTGCTGGATAAGGCCAGGCATGGTTAAGATGTTCCCGGTACCCGCCCCCCGATTGGCAGTTGCGATCAGCTGCTGCCCACCGCCAGGAGAGGACACCAGCTGGAACTGTCCTGCCGCTGCTGCTGTTGGGTCCTGCTGGGCTGTGGCAAACTGGAGCTGCTGTCCATCCACCGTCTGGAACTGGGGGATGACCTGATACTGGATGTTGGGCATGACCCCAGACAGGGCAGTGAGGACCTGCTGGCCAGGTATAGTGGGAGTGGCGGCTACTACATACTGCTGCCCCGGCTGGCCTGTAGCCGCCTGCCTGTTCTTCCCCGCCTCGGCCATGGTACCCTGCCCGGACGTTGTGGTGCCGGAAGTGCTGGTACCAGAAGACTGCTGAGCGCTGACCGGGATGATCTGCCAGCCATTGGGCGTTTGGGTCAGCTGGGCCTGGTCTAAAAGCTGACCCTGCTGCTGGGACTGCTGCTGCTCGGACTCTGCGTCACCCTCACCGGGAGTGTCGATGCGACTGCAGGTGGCAGCCAGCAGAGCCAAGGGAGACGGCTGCTGAGAGTCCTGTAAGTGGTAAGAATGGGCACCGGTCCTTTGTCAACAGTTACTGCTAAAGAGGTCTTGATTCAGTCTGTTTAAGTTTTTAAAACTGTTTAGAGGGTTTTTTCCATTCTCATAACAAACTTGAAAAACACATTCTATGGTTTAATGACAGCAATATTAAAAATCAGTTGTGCTAATCTTAAGCCATACCAGTTGTCTGTGCAATAAATTTAAGCAATCATAAAAAGATAAATACGTCCACATTAATACCCGATTAAACAAAAAAAATAAAACAAATCCAAACGAAATAGCGATATATGGAAAGCCAGCAAAAAAAATCAATCAAAAAAATGATAAAGGAAAAATAAGATTTCCGATGGGCCGTTTCAATGTTGTTTTCTCCACTATTAGTTACATGAGCTTTGAATTTCGGAGGGAGGGAAGCATGCGCGCTTCGGCAAATGGGTGGGATTAAAAGGGCTTTTTTTTTCCAACCGAAGGCTGGCCACGCATCCCCTCCCCTCCCCCCTTCCACCCCCTCTCCCTCCCATCTTTTTTTCTACCCTATAAACACACTTATTCGCTGGAAGCCACCCCCCGAAGGACAGCCAAAGTGGGCCGAGCAGACCGCTCTCAAAGTGCGGGGCTTCTGACAGGAACACCCCGGTCAAGCCCATTTCACCTCCGCTTTGGTGCCTCGGCTCTCCCCACACAAATGACATGTGCTCAAGTGAAATCGACCGAGCAGGTCTGCCCAGTAACTCAGCAGAATCACATTTCTACCAGAAATTAACTGCGAGTTTACGTCGTTACGATTACTAAACGCGGATTAAAAATATCTACGAAATAAGCTTAAAGCGAAAGAAGGAAAAAAAACTTACCTGCCCCGTATTCGAGTTTCGTTTTTGAAGGAAACCTCCACCGCTTTCCACCAACGCGGCCATTTCATCTTGCTGTTGGTCTGCGTGAGGAAGGAGAAACTAGTGGTAAGTTTAACCAGTCCTGCAGCTAACCAGAGCATCGACGTGGTCATTAAGCGCTCTCCTTTTACCGCAGACCGACCTGGCGACAACCTTAAACTTGTCACGCTAGTTCCACGCCGCGGACTCGGCGCTCAACGTCGAGTGACCGCGAAAGCTGAAGGAGACGTCGCCGTGAAACCGACCTGACGGCCGCCTAACCGGACTTTAAAAAGTCAGCCGACGACGTCGAATGTAAAAGCAAAAATCCCGACGACTACGCTAAGCTGTCTTGATTTTGAACTCCCAACTCCGCCGCAACGAACTCGCCGCCCCGAAATTTCACACACCGTTTGTATTATTACTACTACGCTTGTGGTGGGAAAAGGTAACCAGTTTCTGCACTATTCGTTACAGTAACGATAACGACGTTTTTGGCATCTAGCTGGCTAGTTAGCAAGGTAGCTAAGCCAACTTTGCTGAAATGCTAACTACCTAGCAAGTTCAGCGCCTGTGCATGAAACATTCTGGTTTCACGGAGCGAGGGACAATTTTATTAAATTTTATTTGAAACAACTTTTTAAGCATCCGGTTCTTTATTTCTGGCAGTTTGGTTGGCGTTTTACCAAAAGTAATTTACTTTTAAAGAGTTCACTTACCACTCATAATTTTGAGACGGGAGGAGTTTCACGGGCTTCGTTTGGGCTGACATCAACTTAGAAACGACGCAACCAATCTTGACAGCGTCACGGCAGAGGAGAACGAGGAGAAACTCTGTTCCAATTGCAGCGCGCAATCTCGCGTCCTTGTCCAATCGGAATCTCCAGTGGGATGATCCACCATTAGTTATGTCCTCAGCCGCGTTTTTTACTGTGTAGGTAAGGAATGTTGGGCGTGAGCGACGTGCTTCACAAGCCAATAAAATATGGGCATAGTCACCAAGGGGCTGGTAATATCCAATGGAAATTTGATTTTGGGGCGGTATTTGGGTGGGGTCATCTTGGGGTAGGTTGTATTGCTGCAGGCTTGACTGACATTACGTCGACATGAGGGATGATTATTTTTTGGCGGAAAAGGCGCCATTGACAAATATGGCATTGACTAAATAAATTATCTATAAACATTCTTCCAACGTAAAAGTAATCGCTGCTGCCGCCAGATAATAACGAAATCCACACCAGTGTATACGTTTCATCCAAATGACGAATCATTACTTATTCTTATGCTTTACGTGTGAATGTGACTCGTCTGTCATTGTTGAATAAAATTACCCGAATAAAAAATTAATGTGCTTACATAATGCTTATAATTTAACGAGAATACATGCAGTACTTTTCACACGCTTCATTTCATACGCTCGAAGTGGTGAGCTACTTCATTTGGCACACAAGCTTAAGGCGAATACTGAAATAAAAAACACCTTTATCGATTTCCGTGTACGTATTTATTACTATATTACCTGCAACAGCACCAAGCTTGTGTTTACCGCTGTACGCTGAATGTCATTTACTTTTTTTAACTGTATTATTCTACCTAAACAAGCTCCGTTTTCTCAGGTCCATGCGAGTAGGGAGGGAGGGTAGTAAAAGTTGCTCGCAGACTGCGAGGAAGAGACAGACCAATAGCTGGACACTCCCTGCAGTCCAGTAGGTTGAGAGATAGATGGGTGATTTAAGGGGGAGGGGAGAAGGTGGGGCAGAGAGAGGTCAGTCAGCGAGAACGGGCGTGGGGGCCGGTTGGTGACTCCCAAGTGGGGGTGGCGGGGGTGGGAATCACCAAAAGCACATGCCAGTTCCATCGCATGTAAACATTGCAGTCCCACTGACGGTGGAATTGCCATGCTTGTCTTTGTTCCTGCGTTTTGGGCTGTACAATGTTGAGAAACTATTCACAAGTCACCTGGTTGCATCCCCCCACACACACACTCACATTATTTCTGGAGCATTTCAAGGACTTCATTGTAATTTGTGCAGGTGTGGTTCATATGTGTGACTGATTTTTGTGAGTATAAAAATAATTTTAAAAAATTAACAGATATTTGAAATGTTACTTTTATGAATGAAAGGAATCAGTATGTATCCACATTACCATTTAAGTTTAGCATAGTATTTTTGCAAATTATTATTTTTTAACTGCTGGTTTCAGTTCTTGGTTAGTGATACTATACTACAAATTTGAACCCCTAGCCATAAATAAAACATATAGCACATTAATACAGATTGCACACTATTTAAGAATACTTGAGGAATTATTACAGTCAAACAGGTATAATATAACAAATTACAACACTTACACAATTGATGACCAGCAGCACTAAATGACACAACAATGTATTAAACCCCATATATCAATGCCATAAAAGCTGTTTAAAAGACACATACGACATTATTAATAAACTTAATTTGTGTCCTTTTCTTGTCATGCCCCAACCTGGCCATCAGAGGGAGCCAAGGAGCAGAGTTTCTCACCTAAATCCACCTGCTTAGTAGTTGATTGTATAAGTAGCATGAGCGATTTTAGTATTTGATCCTTAGGGGGACTCAGCCCCCAGTAGGGTTATCACTTTCAGTCTGAAGAAAAACAGGGCTGAGATAAAAAATATGTCAGTTGAAGCCCCCCTAAACAGAATCTAAAATCGCCTATGATAATTGTAGAAAGGACCTACATCCTTGTGTAGTTTGGTACTGTCATGGAAATACAATAACCAGGCGTTTGACTTGTATTTCTATCTTTGGTAAATGGGCTACTAATCTACAGTGGGACTTGCAACTACATTGGAGGAAGAGCCTTTCTAGCAAGCGCTGTGATATGCTTTGATCCCTAAACCTAACCTTAGCCTGAACCCCTTTTCCAAGCCTCATAACCAGCACAGTGGCACAGTGGTCAGCGCTGTTGGTTCACACCTCTGGAACTGGAGCTTAGCATCTCCACCGTGTGAGTTTGTATGTCCCCCTGTGTCATCGTGGGGATTCCTCCGGATTCTCCAGTTTAACCCCCACAGAAAAAAAAGCCTTGCTCCCATAGATTCCAGGATAGGCTCCGGACCCCTGCAACCCTGTAGAGGACAAGCAGGCATTAAAAATGGGTGGATGGATGGATAGTTTCATACAGTACAAATATACAATTAGCGATGGTACCAGTGTACCTATATGAAAAAAACATCATTGTGCCAATAAAAATGTGGAGGAAACAAAATGAATTTGCAGATCGATTTAACACTTGTACAGCATTTTGAAAAATACCAGATCCACTCCATCTATATCTCTGGCCTTGAAGTTAGCACTGGACACTAATGCACAGACACAAAATAGAATATAAATGGATTCATCTGCTCCTGACAAGGGATCCCATGGCACTGAACCAAAGGTAAGTGATGAGAAGTATATCAATAGCGAAGTATATAAATAGATGAGTGGAGAGATCTTAAATGAAATGACGGTTATTTATTTGCACATGTGCACAAGATGGAATAACATTGTAATTCTTAAGTTTTCGCATATCCCATCATGCTCTCCTTTCAGACAGACACACAGGCGACGGTAAAGCTAGGGGTCAGAGTGTGAGTACAGGGTCCACTATTTACAGAATGCCCCTAGAGCATTTTAGGGGGCATTGCACTAGGGCTCAACAGAGATTTAACTACTCTGCCGTGAACGGGATCTTAATCGGCAACTTCTGATCACAGACACACAGCCCTAAATCTCTGAGCCATGTGCCACCCCATCAGACACAATGATTGTATGTATTTATTTATTAATTTAGGGAGATATACATTCTAGTGTTAAAGAGAATTATTTTTGTCATTCATGAATAAATCATATTTATTGCGTGGAAGCTTTTTTTTTTTTTTTACTAATAAATTATAAGCACTTATTAGAATCACAGGGTGATTTCTGGTGAAGGGAATTGTCTACTTTTCAGGAAAGCGGTACTCAGCTTTCTTGCATATATATTATTTATTATAACCTAACCCTTACGCTATAACCCTTTAGAGTTCAGGCTAGGGTTAGGTTTCAGGCTAAGGTTAGGGTTACGGTTAGCAGTAGGGTTAGGACCCAAATGGCAACTCTAACCCTAGCTTGAACCATAATGCTAATCCTAAGCCTAGCTTATAAAACCTTTCAACAGGAGGTGATAGTCAGCAGTGCTACTCATTGTGTCTCTTCTGATATATAATATACGGATTATGGTAGTGGGGCTTTTTTAATCTTAAGGGATTGTAATTTGTCATTTGAGTTGATTGAATAGAAAAATAGAAATATAATAGTGATACTTCATTCATCCCCTTGCGTAAATTGTTTTGGGGGTCACAGCACATGGTCAGCCAGCATGTAGCGCCCTGGGGGCTGGGGGTTAGGGCCTTCCTCAATAGACCAGCAGTGGAATGAATACATCAGTCTAAGACAGACAAGTTGCTTTGGATAAAAATGTAAGGTGTAATAATCTAGATGCAATGATTTTTCTGTGCATGTTAAACAATATACTACTAAATAAGTTTCAGTGTATTTACTAAGATTTGTAAAAAAAAAATTTAAAAAATAGGGAAAAATTGGCCAGAACTGTTCACCTGGACTTTACACTGCCTTGGTCCCAGCTAATGTGTATCCGGCCTTACAGTCATGTGTGTGTCCCTGGTGGCTAACAAATACTGTACATGTGGAGGACTGAGTCATGACTTTATGTCATCACAGAAGCCCCCTAATGGATTACAAGGGCACATCAGCAGCCACTCTCCATATCATCATGTTCAGTGCTGTATCTAATTCACAGAAACCCACTTGGTTACCCTTTTCTACTCTTCTACTGAGTTGAGTTTTGGTCCTTTTTGAATAGGGCCCTATTGCTAATATTGTGTGTGTGTGTGTGTGTGTGTGTGTATTATGTTTTTATTACATTGTGGCGACTGAATGTCCCCCAAGATGTAATAAAAACCTGTTTTTTTGACAGTGTGGGGACCATTTCTCACGTCCCCACAAAGATTTGTAAATGCAATCAAAAAACTAAAAATGTTTTGTTCAGTTACTTATGATTAAGGTTAGGGCTGGGTAGGGGTTAAGGTCATCATGTTGGGATTAGAGTTTTCCCCATAGAAATGAATGGAAAGTCCCCACAAAGATATAATTACAAACTTGTGTGTGTGTGTGTTTGTGCGTGCGCACATGTGTGTGTGTGTGTCTGTATGGTGGGAGGGTTGTGTATGTATTACAGTCTGGTCACCAAATGTCCCCACAATGTGAATAAAACCTGTTGTTACTCAATTTTATAATAATCTGTGACTGCAATCAAAAAACTGAAAATGTCAAAAATCTTATTATGGTTAAGGTAGGGGATAAGGCCTGGGTAGGAGAATGCAAACATATTTGTGTGTGTGTGTGTGTGTATATATATATATATTACTGCTGTCAAACGATTAAAATTTTTAATCAGATTAATCACAGGGTTGCTGTGGATTAATTTCGATTAATCACGATTAAATATCATTCATTTTTAATCTATATTAATCACATTTCATTTTGCATGAGCAAACAGACTCAAGAAAAAATTGAATATATGTGCACTTAACATGTTTATTGAACATCTTGAATACAAGTTGGATGCATTCCATCTGCCACAGAAGTGCAATACCATGGACCCATATCAAAAAGTAAGAAGTAGTGCTTAAACAGTATAAAACTACAACTTTCCCTTCTGTTGATAAAGGGTGCAGCCATCTTGGATTCTGAACTCGGGATCCTCTGTTCTGTCCGAGATATTTCTTGGATCTCCGAGAAACGGGAGCACGCATGTCGGCACTTCCGGCTTCAAAACTCCAGAATCCGACGGGCAAATGGAACGCACCAAATCTGCCCGAAATGGGTTGACAGAGGCATTTCAGGGATTTTGAGTCATTCTGCGCTGCAGATGGGTTAATTGCATAAAACTTTTTATCAGATTAATCATGATGATGGGTTAATCAGCGCTAACTTGTTTATTTTGACAGCCCTAATATATATATATATATATACACACACACACACACACAGTAGCAGTCAACAGTTTGGACACAATTACCCACAGAAAGGTTTATTATCGCTATAGTCTACATTTGAGAATAATTACAAAGATATAAAAACTATAAAATAACATAAATGAAGTTATGCACTGACCAAAAAAAATCCATCCATCCATCTTCTGTAACTGCTTATCCTATTCATGGGGAGTCCAGAGCCTATAGGCACAAGGCAGGAAAGAACCCAGGGTGCAGGGCACGCTCACACACCAGCCACTCACACACCAGCCACTCACACACCAGCCACTCACACACCAGCCACTCACACACCAGCCACTCACACAAGCACACATCTGGCAACTCCAATTAGCCTTAGCATGTTCCTGGACTGTGGAGGGGAAAGCAGAGCACCCAGAGGGAACCCCCTGATGACACAGGGAGAACCTGCAAACTCCACTCGCGGAACCCTGGCAGAGACTTGAACCCAGGTCCCAGAGGTGCGAGTTGACAGTGCTAACCACTGACCAAAAAAAAAATATATATTTTGTATTTTTTTGTTGGGGGGGAGCTCTGTGGGTTGAGACTCAGAAGGTTGCTCATTCAAATTCTGTGGTTGGCAGAGTGATGCCACCCTTCAGCAAGGCCCTTAACCCGACTGCCCCAGGGACTGGCTGGCCCTACTGTCTCCTCTATACGGCAGTTCCATGAGGTGCCTCCTGGGATGCTTTTCCAGCTGTCCTGAAGGAGCTCCCACATATTCTGAGCTCTCATTGTCTGCTTTTCCTCTCTCTCCGTCTCTCATCCTAGTAATTCTCCTTAAGTCCTGTAACTGAAAGCATTTTACTGAAATAAAAATGCAGTTGGAATATATTTACCCCGCTGGTAAACTTATTCTGAATACCTTGTCATAGGTTTCCCCTGTTTACTTGCGATGGGGATGCTTTGAAAGTAAATACTGACGTTGATGTATTGCAAAAGTCAATCATCAGCGGAAACAAATTTGAACAAAGCATGCCTACTGGGTTTTCCATGGGACGGTGGTCAAAAAGAAAGAAAAAAAACACGTTAGGCACACAGTTCTAATGAAGAGAAAGTAGGTAAAGCCGAATTAACTTTTAACCGTTATTGTGTAACTATTGCGTAAAATAAGTTTGCGATAACATTATGCTACCATACTTGACAACGCACACAGACAAGGATCTGCGGTGGATTAACAGCAATCTGGCAGATGTACTCAAGAATGAAGTATGATTCCTTAAGAATCTGAATAATTCGGCCCCGCTTTTACCTCCCTCTTTCTTTCTTTCTTTCTTTCTTTCTTTTCGACAGCACTTCCTTTACTGCCTTCCTTTCTTTAGCTAGCTCATTTTCGCGTCACAGCTCCGCCGCGCCAACTTCACCTTTTTGCGTCGGCGGAGCCGCAATGACAGTTCACTTGTTTTCCGGAAAGTTATTGTCGAGGAGCCAAGAAAAGCATATCGGATCACCGGTAATCGGGGGCTACAGAGGCATCTAGGCGGGGGGAATCCTCCGATACCGAGCTGTGTCCCCCGGAGGCGATGACCTAAATGGATCAATTACCGCACATGTAGCTGGACCCGCTAGATCTGCAGGTAAAGACAGCTACGAAAATCGATTTGCTCAAATAACGCTTAAGCCTCTTCAATCTCATCGAAACAATTTTATATTTTTGCAAAGATTTATAGTTCTTAGGATTCAGTGCACCTTAAAAAAAACATAAAATTAGCCATTTGTTGTTATATTACATTTTTATCTGTTTTGTGAATTATCTTTCAGTTGAGTATCCTATATAAATTTTACCGGTATTTTACTACTTACTCAACCGGTTTTTTTTTTTGTTGTTGCAGTACCACTTTCATTAGATGATTTTATGTAACCTATTACGATATCATTGTAGTTGCACCTGTGTCTGTCTATATGTAGGCAAAAGCAGGAGCAACTTTAATACCTTTGTATTGTGTTCTTATGTTCTATAGGAGGTATGATATCATCTCTGGGCAAACATTTTCCTGCCGTTCAGGAAATAAGCTGGTGATGTGAATACTGTTCACATAGGCTACTTTGTATTCAGTTCATAGTCAAAGAGAATCCGAAAAAAATAAATTTTGGTAAAAAAAAGTACTTGGAAATAAAAGTACGGATTTTCAATATAGTGCCTGAGGTTTGCCAGCAGTACGAAAAACGGGCCAATTGGTTCGTGAAAGAAATACTAATTAAGTTGGTCGGCAGATGAAAAGGTAAATAGTCAAGTCAATGTTATTATATATACAGTATACTGTATCTATTATGTAATTATATATTATATTAATATACATATTAGATTTTGAATACATAGCACAGAAACTGCTTTACATCTGCGCTTAAGAGCAACCCTGTAACCCTCAGCTCCCGAGCGGCTCTCGGCCGCCGCGATGGAGACTCCGTCCCCTACCGATCGCCGCCAGCGCTGGGCGCGCACCAGCCGTCGCTGGCACACCCTGGAAGAGGCTGACCCCCAGAGCTCTCACACTCCCGTAGGAATATCTTCTGACAACTCTGCTCTCTCAGAAGGTGGCAGTTTTAATTGCACTTGAAAAAAAAATCAGAGTACTTTTTAAGGTTACAAAGTTTATGTGTGAATTCACTTGTTACTTCTATATATATATATTATGCGACAAGGAAAAATCATCCCTTCATCCGTCTTCTCACTGCTTATGCTAATCAGGTTAGCATGTGGGCCTGGAGCTTATCTTATAACGACAACAGGGATTTTCTTTAAAGCTAAATTGCACAAGTAGCTCCTAGTGATTTATGCTACATTTTTACAAGTATGCTATATTCAGATACTCACTAATAGGAACTGACTAACGAAAACAGGCATGAATGCAGTCAGAAAATGTGTGTTCATTCATGCAGAGGCTGCCTTCAAGCGTATGGTTTACATCTCTTTCTGTTTCCACAGGATGCTCGACAGGAAAGATTGAGAGCTGGCTGCAGGCCTGGGGGTAAGTTAGCGTGCGGTTTCTGCGTCAAACATGGCTAGATGGACCTGAGATATGAGAACCTAGCCTCTCTCAAATACACGTATTTCTGTTTACAGTTTCTGATCTTTGGTCTATTACGTGCCATTGTAAGTGACAATAGAAAGCAAACTGAATGTTGGAAAAGTGTGCACTTTCCGTTGCGATCTGAACGGAAGTGTTTTTGGAAGGGTAAAATTAAATGTGTCTGAATCACAACCTGATTCATTCTGGGAGAGAAATATTTTTTTTCTAGTAAATTAGTCAATAACTCATTAAATGAACTTAAACTATATTCTTCCAGTCTCTTGAATAATTTATAACTATAGATTTTCTTTTTTTTAGTGTACATTTTAAACCTGTTTTAAAAACAGGTTTTGTTTACTCACAAACAAATCCATAGAATCCACTCTCAATGGGCAATGTAGGGAAGCCAGTTTGCCTAATTGTATGTTTTTGAACTGCGAGAGGAACTTGGAGTACCTGGAGGAAGTCCAAGCAAAGGGGGTGGGACTCGAAACCATAACCCAGAAGAGAATTTATATGTATTTGATAAAACAATATTATTGTCTAATATTGTACTATGTCAATGACATATATGGCAGCATTAACCCAAGGCTGTGTGCAGTCTACCATTAATAATGGATCTCTGCAGTAATTAGCAGTTGAAACCAGGGATTTTTTTAACTCCCTTCTTTTGTGTGAATGTCTTTTTTCCTCAGACCTGAGGAGGGCACGGACATTCATCAGAGTTTTGGTAAGCATCTCCATCCACCATTTATGGGTTTGCCCACTTTTGTGGTCAGTATCATAGATTTTCCAAGGTCTTCCGAAAATGAGCAAAATGTTGCTGAACATTGCTTTACACTGCAATAGATTCTTCCACATTCTTCTTCTCTATGTTCTTGATGACTGATGTGGTTCTAGGTCACAGTTTAAACTGGACTCTGGAAAGTAGTAGTTGTACTATACAGTTGTTGCTAGCTGATATCGACAGCAGGGGAAAAACATGTAGCAATATACAATTTAACGGTACTCAAGTACTTAATCAGCGCATGTCTGGACTTATTTCTCTCAACCTTTTGGGCAAATGGGGTACAAAGTATTTTCCTTAATTTCTGAGCTTTGACAATCTTTTGCATCAATATGACAAGTATTCCGGCCTTCACATGAAGCCATAGAATTTCAGGCAAATATTTATGCTTCATTAAGCAACTATAGATAAAGGGTATGATTTACACGGTGGAGTATATCTATCCATTCGTAACTGCTTATTCAGTGCAAGGTCATTGTGAGCCTGGAACCCATTCTATGTGACACAACATGGAGACACCAGTCTGTCACAGGGCCTACACATGCTTTAAACCGTGGGAAGAAGTTGTGTTCCAGAAACACAGAGTGGGACTCAAACCTACAACCATAAAGGTGGGAGTCCACAGCCCAACTGACTGAAGTACCATACCTCCCATGAAATGATTTATATTGGGCTCTCTTAGGGCGCTTTTCCACCGCACAAAGTACGGTACTTTTGGTACGGTACTTTCGGTACTTTCGCTTTTCCATTGACTTCCGGTTGAGTACCAGTACCGAAATCTCGAGTACCGAAAGTGCCAAACCAGTTGGGGTACTTCTTTGGTACTTCGGTACTTTGGGGTGGAACTTGCAAACGTATTTGCTGTCGATTGGTTATGCAAATAGCCTGCCGCTGAAACACAAAATAAAACCGTAATCTTTTGAAATACACAGCGAAAAACAAAATAAAAAGCAGTAGAAACAAAAATATAAAAAAGTAAAGTGGAAGGATGGACAAACGAGGAAACACAGGCTTTAATCGCCATATGGTCGGAGGAACAGATCCAGTGGGATTTGGATGGCACGACTCGAAATAAAAAAGTTTTTGCCGTTCCGAGCAGTTCAGTTTCCCTATGTTTCCCCTGTCGCGCGCTGATTTGTACACGGTTTCGCTGTTCTTTCAATGTCTTTTTACGAGGTAAACAAGCCATATATTAATTTTAAAACATCACATGCCTTTTGTATGTTTTTTGTTTTTACAGATAATGAATGAAATTACTTAATTCGCTGGATAGAGGTATTTCTTGATGAAAACGGTATAGTATTGCTTATAAGACTATATTATGCGTGACGATCTACTGTATTCACATGTAATAATGTACCTGAGTGATTTTCAGACATTTCACATACCTCTTTGCTTTAATATTAGGGGAAACATTACTTCCTGATAGACAGGAGAAATATAGGGAAACTGAATTGCCCGGAACACCATAATACCAAGCCGCTTGGAAGAAATGGGGCACACGCGAAACACCGAACAATGCCGCTTCAAAATCAAAAAACATAATTAAATAATTTGTTTGCTTTCAAAAGACTGAATTGCAGTAAGCTAATTCTTACTGCTTTGATCGGCTTAGCCAAAGTAAGTGTACCTACGTAAACGTAATTGATGGCAGCATGATTTGGATTTTACTGAATCTTATACTGTGATAGAAGCTGACATAACAATAAACCGCATTTTCCAGCCTCAGCTGTTAGTTTTAATTTTGGGCTGTCAGTCAGGGGCGGTCACTGATGATGTCATTTGGCGCCGGTACCATTTTTTACGCCAGTGGAAAACCGACATGAAAGAAGTACCAAACTTTCGGCACTTTATGGAAGTACCGAAAGTACGGTACCTGGTGCGGTGGAAAAACGCCCTTACTACACTATTGTCTTCCAAAGGGAGTTTTTCAGCAGCATGGAATTTGCGTCAACTTGCAGTTCTGAATAGATGGTAATCTACAGGTGAATGCATTGGGTACAAAGTATCTGTGTTACTGTCAGCAAGCGTATTCTTCTGGTCAGATCTGAGCTCCTCACTTAGCGTGCCACCGTGGAAGGTTCCAGACTTACATTCCTTCGAAGGAGAATATCATGGTGTTTGCACTGATAAACATTCTGAAAGAACATACAGGGTGAAGATCTTCTCAGAATTCTGATAAGGGACCATCATTTTAGCTACAAGATAACAGCTACAAATATTTTTGTGCATGCTGTATGTCTTGAGTTTTCAGCATACGGTGGCTGATTGTTCTGCAAATCGTCCATTGACTGGGATTTCCTCCTCCTTGCAGTTGCAGAGCCTTTCCTGAAATCCGGGGCCAGTTTTGAAGATGATCTGAGTCTAGGAGCTGAAGGTGAGGGAGCGGCTCCAAGAGGCTTGTGACACCCACGGTGTTTTGGCCCATGGTGTGGTATGACAGGTTTACGAGTTCAAACCTTGTCGAAACAGCTTTGCACTTAAACCGTCATTTGAACGCACCCACATCATGACCCAGCGACAGAAATCGGGACGTGGGGTCATAGGGAAATGAGCTGCGGAGTCACATGCGTGGATTTGTGAATCGTTTCGTCTTCTTTCTTATCTGATATCCCCATTATTGTAATTATGCCTGCTTCCCTGTTGGGTTTACTGGAGCGTGCGTCTGTACATATCTGTCTGTGTGTGTTTGCGCACGTTTAGTATGTCTGTCCTTTACTGGTGCTTCAGTCACCTAGATTGTGACTGACCATTCAAACGTGAATCCATTTTAGTTATTGTTAAGGAGACAGAAATCTGTAAATATTACATACTGTACCACCAAGATTTCCCCTTTTAGTCGGACTGCTAATTGTTGCTGATATTGACTGCCTCCGTTCAAATACTCATATTCTATCCTTTGTTGTCATCTGGCTTTTTCTTTCTCTCTTTCCCTCCCCCTTTTCCTGTTTCTGTATATATGATGTAGTTATGTATAACAACACACCCATATTAAGCACCATGGGAGGACTGTTGTGGAAGGCACACTATACTAATGAACTGAATTGGGCTGATTATATTAATCTGCGATCTGTCACTCTCCTGAGTCATTGTCCGCCATTAAACGCTAATCGCCGGGCTATCCAACCGCAGCAGACCATAATACGAGCCACTTCTGCTCCTTGTGTGAATGTGTCGCCAAGGTCTGGTGACTCTCCCGAAAGCCCGGAGTGGCAGTGGCAGTGGCAGTGGAACGCAGTGACCAGGAGCCGCTGACTGCAAGCTGTAAACACAGGGTTCTTTGTCACGCTAAAACCACTGGCTTCCTCCTTTTTTTTCGCATCCCTTTTTACCTTTGCTTTTCTCCCAGGCTGATCACATGCACATCACAGTCCCTCTGTACCCGCCCTCTTAACCTTGTGGGGTCCTGCTCAGAATGTTCGCGAAGGATTTTTTTTTTTAGCTCTTTTCAAGTTGCAAAATGAGACATTGAAAAGATATTATTAGAAGTGCTACTTATTTTACTTTACACAGGAAGTGCTAAATCACACGTAATTGCAGAGAAGGTCATGCTAGTTCACGTGAATGATTAATTAGTAATGAAGGATTTGACTAAAATAAATGTGTAAAAAGTTCAATGAGTACTTGTAGGATTTTCACGATTGTACCTTGAGATGTAGTTCTAACCGGGGCTATTTTTTCTATTCCTTCTCTTATTCATTGCATTTGACTTCTATTTCTCAGCTTTGGCTTTCAGCACCCAAGCTGATGGACCAGAGATAAAGGAGGGTAGAGGGTAAGTTTTCGTTTTAGGCTTCCAGGCAATTTTGTTTTTAACAGGGTTTTTTTTTTTTTATCAGGAACTGTACAAGATGAGGCTTTGGTGAAGATGCTATTTCAGCTATGAAAATGCTCGGACAGTTTATCAGATATCATTTGAAATTACAGTGGTACCTCAGTTCTCGAACGCATTAGAACTCGAATTTCTTAAAAGTCGAACCAACCAGTTCGAAAAAAAAAATTACCTAGAGCTCAATCTGAATCTCAGAAGTCAAACCGTGAACGCCGACCTAAGGTAACTTGTACGCGCGGGGAAATGAGTCACGCCACACGTCTCTCAGCAGAAACAAAGGGTAACGCTTCAGTCTCAGCCTCGCATTCGCTGTGATAGCATCGTGCATGTTTACACTAGCTGAATACATATATTTAGACAGTAAAAATACATTTAGACAATGATAGACAGTAACAGTAATTATTATTATATAATAAAATACATTTAAAAATAAAGATTTCTTATTCATTATTTTAATATTAATAATAAACCATACGTTTAATTATAATAATATTGTCGTGCCGAGTGGGGACGGAACGGAGACAAAGGCGCAGACGTCAGGGTATCGGGGAATACGGGGTTTAATTACAGGTAAGACAGGCAAAACGCAGATGGACAATACAATGACCGGACTGGGGAAACAAACTGAAACACGGACGAAATACAGAGGACTAATGACAACAATCAGAAACAGATGATCACATGGGGATCCCACACGGGGTTAACGAGGTGGCGTGGCACACGGAAAGAGCGGACGATCGGGGCACACATTGTTTGGATACATTTATTTTTTTACTTTACAAATTACTGTTTTGATAAATGTGCTTAGTACAGTATATGCTCTTCTTGTTTTATCCGGTTCATTGTGTTTAAATGCTAAAAAAAAAATATTTAGGTGTAATTTTTTGGGGCCGGGAACCAATTAATTGGTTTTCCATTATTTCTTATGGGGAAAATTCGATCATAACTCGAACTTTTTAGGATTCAATTCGGAGTTCTGAACGGATTAAGTTGGAGTTCTGAGGTACCACTGTATTAGTATGTGGTGTAGCGTGTAATGTGGAAGGGAAATGCTCTTCTGCTATCTATAGCTGTGGATCAAGGTACACAATAAACATCTAGACTAACAGGTAAAGGTCTGGTGTTAAAAATCTTTCTTGACTATGTGCAACAGGGGCACTGAACGATCAGGAATTCCGGTGAACCTGTTGCACTTGGCCAATAAAGATCTTGAATCTAGCCTATAATATGTGGGTTAAAGGACAAATTGGACCTGCAACAGGACAGGAATTTAACAGAAGAGCAGTGATTTAATCATAGCCTTGTATCACATAGTAATCACACAGACAACAGGGTAAGTATTGTGCTGGAACATTGTAACTGACAAAGCGAAAACAGGGGTATGGTAATAATAATAATAATAATAAATTTAATTTGTAATGCACATTACATTTTACAGAGAAAATCTCAAAGTGCATACAGGCAATGAGAGAACATTACATTAAAAACAGCATTAAAAAGAGGAATAAAACATTTTGGTGTGAGTTTGAGACTGTATATATTGAAATAAATTCTGCATTGAGCATCACTTAAGCGCTGATGACCAGAGGTGGACATTTTAGGTCCAGAACGTAAAAATCCAAAGCAGGATTTTGTTTCAACCAACCAGCTTAGCATAAAGAGTCACAGTCACAGAGTACTCAACTGGTTGGTTGAAACAAAATCCTGGATTGGATTTTTACTTTCTGGACCTGAAATGTCCGCCTCTGCTGATGACCTGGCTGTGTCAGGTGACTGCAGCTCACCTGCCCGTGTTCCCATTCTGCAGGGGCTGTCCGCTGCTGTTGCCCCCACCTAGGCCACGCAGCAAGGGGCAGGCCACCAGGTGAGCAACCACCAGCCCCTGGACTGACATGAAGACAAAGCGTTAGCTGTTCCTATCAGGCCCGTAGACAGAAATAAATTTTAGGTGGTGGTACATTTTGAGGGGGGTTCGTAATCGATATTTTTCTACCGGGATGGTGAACAGAGCCACTTTTTGAAGAAGTGGAGAAATGCTCAGTGGGGGGAGGGGGAGAAAATAGGCTTTTGTGGAGTGGTGAGAGAACAGGTGTTATAAAAAGAGAAAAATGAAAAGAAGAGGCAGCAGTTTTTCTGCTGGGTTGCCAGGGCATATCCACTCACCTCAGAACGGCTGAAAATGACTTAATTCTTGACCTCACTTGGTTACCGTGTACTTTTTGCTGACCACACTTTGTGTGCAGGTGGAGTTTCGCACTCCTTCAGTTCTGTGCTGGTGTGTCCCACTATAAGGAATATATCACATACTAACATGAGCAATCAAACACCTGCTAATTTTAAAAAGTGCCAAAAAGCGTATGTGGTTTACCTAACATTGTACTACTGTAATCTCCAAAGTTTATATAGCAAACTTTATTCTCTGTCTCTGTATTATGGTTATTCTGATATTTTAATTAATCAATTTTTTTGGCAGGGTTATTACTAGAGCAGCTTAATCAGCTTAATTTGGCTTCAGTGCGTCATCTTTTTACTCTTGTGTCACTTGGGCATAACCCAGATGGAACAGGAGCTTTGTGTCTCAGCATCCGTGATGTGGACACGCTGCCTCATTTTCTCACCCTGCCTGTGTTTACATACAGCACTCCCAATGAGAAACTGGCCCCACCGCTCTCCCACCTGGGCCACAGCACCACCTCCAGCGCCCTCTCGTCTTCCAGCAGGACCGCCTCCAGGTGAGGGGCGGGGGGGGGGGGCGGACCTCCACCTATGCATTCCATCTTGCACTAACGGCCCGGGCTCAAAACGTGAAGACCTCTTTCAATTTTTCTGGCTAATTGAAGAGCAAATTTCCAAAATTTACTCGGACCATGTGATACGTTCTCAAGAAAATTTCTGCGCACATTCGGGAAATTTAATGAAAGTTCTTCATTGGATTACACGAGGACTGAGTGCGTTTTGGTTCCAAATACTGCAACATATGCTGTGGATTCCCGACTTTAGGTCATTGGTGGTCTCACCTCAAAAACAAACAAAAAATGGACTGAGTAAATTTTGGAAACTTGCTCTTCAGTTATGAATCTGCCTTATATGACAGACAGTGGCTAGTGGCTTCGGCTAGTATTTTAATATTGATTAACATTATTATCCAAGTTCCCCAGTGAACCTTCTGAGAGCCAATCACAAGTCATTAGTTTCAGTCCCTTAAACATCACACCCACTATCCCTTCCTGACCGACCCCCCAGCGTGCAGGACCTGCTGCAGCTCTATGCCGAGGACGCGGAGGACACGTTATACCAGCTGGGCTTCGGCGGCTGTGACGAGCCGCAGGTCACGGCCCGCATCCCAGCCCGTTTCTTCAGCTTCCCTTCCCAGCTGCACGGCATTAATTTTCGAGTCTTCCTGGAATCACAGCTGGCCCGCCTGCATCAGGAAGACCCGAGCCTCTCGCTGGCCAGTAAGCCTACCCAACTATTCTCTTCACTACCTTCATCACCTTCATTATCGAGCTGACTATCATCATTCTTTAGTCGTCTGACCAGTGTATCTGGTTTGAGTACAGAGTTTAGCACCAGAAAATGTCACTGCCCACAGATGGGGGTAAAGTTTGGCACTTTGATAGAGATCCTCTTCCGCCTAATTGTTCCCTCACCTCAGATGTTTTTACACCAATGATTTTTAAATGTGTTCGTGATGTTTTAATTGTACCATGTCTACCAGGAACAGACGGCACATTGGCTTAGTGGGTAGTGCAGTAGCCTCATGATTCCAGGCAGGCCTGGGTTGGCTATCTGGCATATCATGCATTTTCCTATAGGCCCATGGGTTTGCAGGCCACAAAAATTATCGTGCAGGACCCCAAAGTCCAGGGCTGATTTGGGTGACTGGATGGGGTTTGATGATGATCAAACCCCACACAATAGTCCCCAAAAAGCAAAGGATGTGATTTGTCCTCAGTTTGTGGAAAGTGTACACCATGTGCCCTTCAGCTTCAGTCTTGCCTCTAGGGTTGTGGATTTGAATCCCACCTCGAGATCTGCTTGTGTGGAGCTCATGTTGGTCAGGTTTGCTGCTTTCTTCCACCAGGCCAATAACATGAAGTTATGCGAATTGGTCTCCGGCCTGGTTCTGTGTGTGTGAAGTTTGCATGTTCTGTCCGTGTCATCATGGGGCTTCTTCCAGGTTTCCCAGTTTCCCCCCACAGTCCAAAAACATGCTAAAGTGAATTAGAGATGCCAGATTGCCGATAGGTGTGAAAGTGTGGGAATGGTGTGTGTGCCCTACAATGGGTTGGCAGGTTGGCAGGTTGGCTAGGTTGTACCTTCCCTGCATAGAACATGCAGGTACAAGAAATGGATAGTATAATGCAGGCCCATAGCCAGAAATTTTGGTGGGGTCCCACTTGGTAGATTCCATTGACTGGGGGCTGGGGACCCCATAAGTAGATTTTGCTGACAAGGTGGCAAGAGAAAATCTTGTTAGGGAAGTGGTTATGTAATTTGGATGTCTATTTGAATCATCTAAAGCTTAAGGACACAATATAGAACTTAATGGAACCGAGTGTCACATGTCTGTCTCCTGTGCAGGCCGCTTCCGGCAGGTGGAGGTGTTGGCGGCAACAGCCAACGCCTTCTACTCGCTGTATTCACACGTGTCGCGGACTCCACTCCAGAAGCTGGCGCCGCCCGACATGAGCTTCGCCCAGTCTCCAGCGGAGACCAGGATGGCGCCGCGCTTCTTCAGCAGCGCCCGCAGCGAGCCGAAGTCTCCAGTCGAGCGCCTCAAGGACACTGTATCCAAAATGTGCCTGTATACAGGCTCCTCCCTCCGGTCTCCAGAGGCCACCTCCGTCTGCAAGCGTCCCAGTCTGCCGGATGTCATAGAAGCTGTCCTGGAGAGGGTCAAGGGTGGTGATACTGTAGCTGAACAGGCTGAGGAAAGCATGTTGGGTGGGGATGTGAACAAAGACAACAGAATGGAGAACCAGAGGGATTCTGGGAAAGAGAGGGAAGAGCAAAAGACAAAAGCAGAGAGACATAACTTGGACTGTAGGGATCCCAGGGGCAGAACTGCCAAGGGGGGAGCAAACAAAGCTGAAACACTGAGCATTTCTCCACTCCTTCAAAAAGAAGACTCCAAAACAAATCAGTGCACCTCCAGTCCTCTTAGCAAGGGGTTTCAACTAACTAGCAACCCCTACTTTAACCCAGATAAACCCTCAAGTACCACTGATGATGCTCAAACCCCACCCAGGAGTCCCCCAAAAAGCCTTTGTCTAGGAGCAAAATTCTCAAAGGATATCATTTGTCCTCAGATCATGGAGAGAGTACACCAGGTGCCCTTCAGCTGCCTTCAAAGGAATGATGAGCCAGCTTCTTCCATCATGGTTCATCCTGATGGGAATCCCAGAATGGATGAGTCTGATTTAACCACAGAGGGCCAAGCTGTGCTTGGAGAAGAGATGATCCACACAGACACGGACACTGAAGTTCTTCTGCTTGAATCCAGGGCACTGGACAATGAGAGGTACATGGGAGATGTTCATCTGGACAATGCAGAACATTTGGAATCCATGCCTTCCGCCCATTCTGACCCTGCTAAGCAGAGTTCCCCATGCCGCATCACTGTGACTGGGTGGGAGGGAGACACCCCAGCTACAACAAAAGGGTCTGCAACTATTAGCGATGTCCAGGAAACCCCTGATCCCGAGTCACTAGGCAGCCGGAACTTCCTGAATCCCGTTGAGCTGTGTACTCTTGGACAGACTCCCCACAGTCTCCAACAGGCCAACTCCTTTGAGCTGGAAGAGGTAGGTATCCTCCAATGGTTCTCAGTCATATCTGGATGCCCAGAGTGGGTGCAACTTGTGAAACTCTAAGGGCCAGATTTACGAACGGTTTGTGCCAGCGCAAAGACTCTTTTGGCATTACAATAGTAATGTTGGGATTTACTAAAGACGCGCAGTGAAAAATGAACAGTGAAAAAGCGTTGATGAAGTTAATTTTGCGACTGGCCATATTGTATATACATTTATAGGGGTTTCCTTTCAAGGCGCAAAATATGGGGGAGGAGAGTATTTAAATAAATCAGGCAACGTAATTTACTAACATTTGCAATTTACTGAAAATTGCACAATTAAGTAATGCCAAAAAAAGGATGTCTTATTTTGGGCTTCTCATAGCTGCCATAGTTGCTGCTAGGAGGAGGCGTTGAATGTACAGGAGTGTAAACCTATGCTTAGTGCGGGGCGGTATGACCATGAATTTTTATCACGGTATTTTTTAAGATTGTAGTGGTTTCACAGTACAGTTCGTTGTCGACTTATGACTAATCGACTTTTCGACTGTTCCGAGACCGCAAATATGTGGCCAGGACTGCGCCATGTCTGGCAGTGAGAGTGTACAACCGTTTCCACACCAACTGCTTCCAGCAATCAACTAAGAAAATAGTGATAAGACGGTTAAAAATCACCAAACAATATGACTTAAAGATGATATGATTGTATTATACAGTATACTATACATATGATCAGGGGTACACATAACTGGTACACAAGTACACATTCGCACTGTTAAAAGAGGAAATTACCTTGTATTGTAACCTTTATCTGGCTAATTTGTACTTCTTTCACAGTTTAAAGGCTAAAATGTACAGTGATTTCTTGTCATAACAGCACTAACGCATATAAAACTACGTATTTGCGCTGCTACGACAAGAAATTGCCACAAATATTGCTTTATACACCGAATGTGTACCAGTTATGTGCACCCCTGCATATGATAATTACAGACGCTCCTCTGCTTACGAACTTTCAACTTCCGAACTTTCAGACATATGAACGAAGAGGACTGTAAGTCCAAATTGTGTTCTTTGGTCTCCCATTTCCTGTCCGCAACATCAAATTTTTTTCTGCACGCCAGTTCTGCCTAGTACGACTTCTGGCCGATACTCCCGCCGCACAGCAGCATAGCGTGCGTACTCCCAGCATCCAACTTCTTTGTACTTGCGTATACCCTTAAAATGATGTTGAATAACGACTTACGAACATTTCAAGTTACGAACGGCCATTCGGAACTTAATGTGTTTGTAAGTAGAGGAGCGTCTGTATTGCATATAAAATAAAGGGCTGACATAACCAAATCGACTTATGACCCAGCAGTCGGAACCGATTGCAGTCATAAGTCGACAATGACCTGTATATCACGGTATTTTTTTCAGGTTCACCCTTACTGTGGCAGCAAGTGTTTACGTCAATAAAATATGTCTACAGATGTTTTAAGAAATGTTTTTATTAATTATAAAAATTCATTTACAGTTTGATAGTATAACTGACAAGTTTTATTAGATTATTAATGCATCCTATATTCTGCTCCATAATGACAAGTTTTATTGATTATAATCATGTACTTAGCTGGATCAGAATTGTTTCATTGGCGCGTTTTATTAGATTAATAATTATTATTAATTAGATTTAGCCTGGCAACAACATGTTTGTTTGACCGGCATGGTTTTAATTATTATTACCGTGATAAATGAATAATATTAGGGATCTCGCTTTTCCGATATGCATTTAACTGCAGACTCAATTTTATTACACATAATCAAAATTTTGGCACAGACTGAAGCAGTAGCTGTAAATCCTATAATGCTGAGCAGTAATATATGTGGAATTATTTTGTTATAAAGCTACAACAGTTAGTAAGAAGGGTGCACACAGTGAACAGGGGACGCCTCTGAATACAGCGAACAATATTATATAATTTGCTGCTTATTTGAGTGTTACAGCTACATACTATCCAATGGTATGGCAGTATTTGGAAAATTAACCAGTATACCGCCCAGCACTGCCTATGCTTATATTATGTTTGTCATTGTCTGTGTTGTTAGTAGATTTTAAGCACCTTCATCAGGTGTGTTTGTCTGCCATGCTACACTAATTTGTGCTCCCTTTGGTAGCTTGAGTGGGTCATTATTTTAATGAACAGACTGCGTCTGTGTTCATAAATTTGTAATTTTTTTGTAGATCACCCACAGAACTGGCTGCTGCCATTTTGTTTGCTTCCACATGCTAATTTTCTCTGCTTAGTAAATCTGGCCCTGAAGGTCTTTCCATCCATGATAAAAAGGAAGACTAAATTAGCCTAGTATGCTAAATATTTCAATGGAACATGTAAGTGACTGAAGTTTTGCACACGTGTAACCTTCTAGAAACAAGGTTAAGAATTGTTTTCTGCATCACATTTTTGATCAGCGTATCATGCATTATTCTAATACTTTTACCCTGATTTTTCTTAATATAAATGTCAAGTTGGTTAATGATTTTATTGTGACTAAGGATCACCTGTTTTTTGATATCTTGACAGGTGTGCAGTGCAGGGGAAGATGATCCTACACAATCAGACTCCAGACGTTCATCATCTCTTCTGTCAGCTATTAATCAACGTAGAGGTTAGTCAAAAGAATGACATAATTACCCAGTATAGGGTAACTAAGTCTACAGGGTACTACCAAAATAAATTAAACAACTTAAAGTGACTCAGTAGGCTTATTGACTACCATGAGCTTCATTGTCCGTTGGTAGATTCTAGTTGTCTGTTATTGAGGAATGCAACCTCATTCTTCCATGAGGTGTTTAATTAATAAATTGGCACTTTCTTGATATTCATGCCAATGCTATCTTTAAGCACTGCTTCATAATCTCCCATAAGGGTGCCGTTGGTTAAAATGTGGTTACGATTAGGATGCCACTACCACCAGGAATGAACTAGTTCACCGTTATATGAAAGTGATCACATATAGCTTTCTATTCATTGGCATTTGTGTTACCCTCTTAAGGGTTGAGGGACCATAACCATGACAAAAAAAATACACCCTGCGTGATAACTGAGCAACTGGAAACCTTCTCCGTGGGAAATAAGTCAAAGTGGTTTATTTGTGCACTTTATACACTCATTCACTTGTTATAAACAGTTGAGGGTGACTCGTTGAGATGTCACTCCTCCCTACTGCTCAGAGATCTACTGCCTGTATCAGTTTCACTGATGGTGTTTTTGACCATACACTGTGTGAAGTGTGAAGTTCTCAAAGGACGGTGCTTCATGAAGCTGCCTGCTCAGGCACATGATGTTTCGATTGTCCATGTGCCTCACCTCCCACTACCAGCCAATATGCAGAACGCACAGTGAGGTGTTAAATGCTTTTATATACAGTAGGCCTTAGCTAATGATATCTTTTCCTCAACTTGCCCCAACAGTCAATCCTTTCTCCAAGTCACTGATATCTCTTTTTATGGTCATGGGGTTCAGAATAATGGGCTGCATCTAATGGACGCTAGGCATGATGGGACATAAAACGCTTTAGGACCCACACCTATGTGGATGCTATTGCTATTTGTATTTATAACAACATAAATTTACAAACGAGAAGAAGCCATTTGGGCAATGATCAATCTATTTGTATTTCCTCATGGGTCATTTCCCTCGTTTTCATGGTTACCTGTATGTTTATGTTAATAATTAGACTTTGTTGAGGAAGTCCACTCTTAGGTAAACATTCTGTACAGAAAAGGCAGCTATGAAAGACGGTGGATATACTCCTTTGCAAACAGGAAGTAAATCCATTTAGAAAATTTACTCCAGTTATCTCTCTGCTTTTTCTTAATAACATCAAGCAGCAGTACCAGAAAATGCTGTGTTTGCGGCTTTGAGTATGCTGGGGAAGAGGAAATTTTGACAAATATCAAATGTGACACGGCCAATTTCCCAGCATAAAAATACATTTGCTGTGAAGCACTCACACAGGAAGTGAGTGGAAAAAAAACTCAGCACTTGAAATTTGTTTTGGGCCTCTTGTTTGTAACTGGCTTCATTTCAGCTTTTTTTTTCTTTTTCACTGTACACGCCTTAGTTACTCATTCATTCATTCATTCATTCATTCTACTGGTGTACAGACTTCCTCTTGCGTGGGGACAGCCTGCAGTCGGACAGCAGTGGCTACGTGGAAGAGGACCATCCTTTTCCCAGCAGCCCCGAGCACGACGGAAGCTGCAGCCAGTTGACCCCACAGTTGACCCCACAGTTGCCCCGCTCTCCCTTAGCTGGGAAGGACCAAGAATGAAATGGCGGTATCGCCCAGACTTTCCGCCTTTGCTTAAGTGAAGGCATTTCTCTACATCCGCCTTTGTAGTACTTAAGACGTCTTGCTCTTTAGACGTGTATAAATCGTCAGTCCTGGATATCATTTTTTTTTTGGCATCAACATAAAATCTTGGCACATGATTCGAACTGGAAAGAGAACTATGACATTTTTCTTTTAACATTACAGCGAACGCTGCTTTTATTTATTAAAATTATTTATAAATACAATCGCCTTGTTATCTTAATCTTTAACAAAGCCTGTCAGTCTTGGGGGGAGACAAGAATAAGCAGAACGGGTTTGAGGAAACATTGTGAAGGTGTGAAACACGATAAGCCCAGTAACATCGTAAGAGCACATTTCTGGACAGATGTTTAATCTCCAGAGAAGCTCAGGGCTTCTTCACATTTGGAGCTCTTACAGTGAATACTAACATTGTCAAACAACATTTTAAGGTCTGCTCTAAAGTTAAGAACCACTGCTGAATTGACATTTATGGGGAGGGGTATCAAAGGTAATTTACCGACAAATTGCACCCTTCAATTAAAAACCTGACAATGTTGCATTACGATTGTCCTCAGTGGAGCCTCACGTTTTCAGGCCAGCACACAACACTAAAGAGGTAGATCAAAGAGTAAAAGACTAGAATACCTAATCCAACATTTGGCAATGAGGAAAGATCTGGAACGCAGAAGTACTATTTACACAAACCAGTCAATGAACAATTAGAAAAGTGAATACTATTCTTAACGGATCCATTTTCAATAAGCTGATCAATCCATGTAAAGTCCATATTCCATGTAAGCCTAGCACTCATTTTACTATTAACATACATTAAAATCAACTGCATAAAACACAAAACATAATTGAGGCTTCCATTTCTGTGCTGTAAATTTTTGTGGCACATTCCTACTTGAAATTCAAAGTATCACTCAAGGTGACATGCCATAGCTCATACAAACATCTTCCTCATGCTCAAATTGAGCTTACTTGAGAGTCCCAGACTAGTTCAGGCATGAGGTATAGATTTAGTAAATGAGTTGTTCAGTGATTCGCATTGAGGTTGATATTAACTTATGTCATTCTAGAATCTCCTCAGCAGAAGCTCAATTAGGTTGCAGTTCTAAGCGTCTTTTGTTGCAGTCAGGCAATGGCATGGGCGATGGGTTGCAAAGCCACTCACAGAGAAACAGTGACATCTTGTGGCCAATAACGGGTAACGACGGGTAACATTTCTCTTCGTTGCATATCAAGTAACGTTTCTGGATGTGTAAACACTACTTTAAAAACCTTTAAGAGCTGAAAGCTACCCACCATCTGCATTATGCCAGACACAAAATAAGTTTATTTGAAAATCATTTAAAAACAGAATTTCAAGAGTTAAATTAATGAGGTATAAATAAAACTTTGCCATCTATTGATTTTCCTGTTAAACTGTAGGTTAAACCTTAAAAATGGTGGGCAGATGCATCTCTTATCTAATAAGTTCAAGTGCTCACCTGCTCACCCATTTCCGCAGAGGGATGACAGCCACATAAAACACTGCCATCACACAAGAGGCCAAAATGCATCAATGTGCCGTGTCTTTTAAATCCCAGACTACCTACAATAACCTTTGAAACCTCCTGTTTTAGTTTTGACATTTAAAATAGTTTTGCTGGAAGAATAAAAATGACAAAAAATGATCGATATTGTTTCCATGAAAAGTTTAAAAAAAAAAACTGACCTAAGATGCCCAATGTGGAAAAGGGGTAGAACCATTCTTAAATGGAGAGCATGTACATCTTTAGCAGTCCATGACTCCAAGACACTGTACCATCCCTGAATCCTTCACCGTTATCTATGGAAACAGAAGGATGAAATCCCCAGCTCACAAACAATGAAGATGTTAATGGGAATCGTTTTGGTGGGCATGAAGAATTCAAGCTCAATTTCCAGTTTCAGTTACCCACTAATTTTTTGACTGCGACCCTAACCCTTCTCTTCAGAGTCCCCAAGACGCAGTACCCAGGGTGGAGGGGAGGGGAAATCATATCCGCCATGGCAACATGTGCTTCTGAAAACCCAGCCCGGGCATGCTGGAACGATGGAAGGATGGCACAGACGTCTAGGTCGCAGAGGGCGGTGCTTGGGTGGGAGGGGCTGGTGGACGATCACTTGGCGCCAGCCATGATCTTGAGGTACTGCAGCGCATTGCGGGCAGCACTGGCACGGGCGGCATCCTGGCTGGGCGCGAATCCGTGGCACACTGTGACGGGTTGGGTAGACAGTTCCACCAGGCACTGGTACAGGCCGCTCAGACTGCGCTCCTCTGAGAGCCGAAAGAAAACAACCTCAAACAGCTACATGGATGAATAAAGTGCTCTTTCAACACCAATATATAAAGGGGGGGGGGCACATTTACTGCTAAAGGCTGGGGTGTGGATGTGGTGACACACAAGCTATACTTACTGGCAGAAAAGTGCCACAGTTTAAAGCAAGTCTCAGGGTATTTTTAGAAACGGCAAGAGGCAATTACGGTACGAGTGGCAGATTTAAGGCCTGCGCTAGCTTCCGAAGTCAGAAGCTGAAGAACCTCCTTCAGTTAGAAGCATTAAGGGTGAAACCAGACCGAAAATCACCCAGACGTCACGGCTGCCCGCTTTATTCCCCCATATCGCAGCAAAGAGGAGACGCATGAGCAAAGCTGTTAAATGGCATGCAGATGCCAGAGCTCACCCAGGTCCAGGTAGCTGATGTCGAAGCGCTGCTCTTCGGACAGGTCCTGCAGCAGGGCGCAGAAGTTAGAGTCGGGCTCCCCCAGAGGCTGGCTGCGCAGCTGCAGGATCTTCTCCCCCGCTGAGTTCCTCAGGGAGTCCCATGTGCAGCCAAAATTTTTGCCTTTGCCTCCATCGAGCCGGCTGCTCATGTGCTGCGTGGGGAGAGATGGGAGCCATAAAGGAGAGCCATGGTCATCCCTCAGAGCCAGAGGAGCGCCGGGGGCATCCCTCTGGGAGCCATAGAGGAGCGCCGGGGGCATCCCTCTGGGAGCCATAGAGGAGCGCCGGGGGCATCCCCACAGAGGAGTGCCATAGGCATCCCTTTCATTGCTAGGCATTCAGCCAGACCTGACATGTTCAGTCTAAACCAGTGTTTCTCAACCCAGTCCCCCAAAGAACCCCAGCAGTCCACATTTTTGCTCCCTCCCAACTTTCAACAATACCTGTACCAGGTATTCGGAGTTCTTGATTGGCTGGCAATTTGGATGGAGCAAAAATGTGGACTGTCTGAGATTCTCTTAGGATCGAGTAGAGAAGTGACTTGTTGTTTTTGCCAATTAACAGTTTTGCTGGAGTAATTCAGGCAAAATACTGCACCCTTAACCTCTATGCTAACCTGCTACCCCAGTTAACTTCAAAATCCAATAATACTAATAAGAACAATGTACTGCTGTTATAAAAGACATTTCTCATACTGCTTAATCACCACCAGCAATGTGTAGGACCTACCCGGGGGATGCAAGGTGCCCTGTTTGAATGAAAATCACCCAACAGACAGGAATTACTGTGCATTAAACTCTTACACCATGTTCCCTCTGACATCCAGCCCCCCCGTGCCAGCCCCCCCCCCCCGTGCCACTAACCATGTTGAATGTGTCGTCCTCGGTCTCGGCCTCCTGGTTGCTCCGCAGCTCCATGGGCACATCGTGGATGCGGGAGAGCATCTTTGCCGCCGCATTGCGCTTGGCCAGCTTCTTGGACGTGCCGCTCCCTGGGAAAGCGGCAAGGCATGGGGAGGGGGGGGGGGGAGGAGGAGGGGAGCCGAAGAGAAGAAGGGGTGGGGCGTGGTCCCTGAATCAGACGCAAGCTGAAATAATGACACAATTCGGCATTTAAATATCACGCCAAGGTGGGCAAAAGGGCCCAGAGCAGAGCTAACTCACCAATCTCAACGAATCTCTCCACTCGGCACGTCATGGTGAACTCCTTACGGTGAGCCGGGCCTGATTCCTGGGTCACGGTGTACTCCGGCAATCGCCAGCCCTTCTGTACCACCAGCTCCTGATAGTGTTGGTAAGGTGGAGGGGTACAGAAGCAAGCAATTTGGCCAGGGTGACCAGTTTTAATTACAAGGTGGTGACAAACACATGAAAGAATGATTTAAAAAAAAAAGAATGTAGAACAGACTACAGAATGTATAAACTAATATTTATGACAAACAAATGGGCACTTACGTCTATGTATTTAAATCAATAAATACACACAGAAACAGTACAGCGTCCCACTCAAGCTCACCTGTAGGGCACCTACTGGATTGCATTCTGCCTGCGGTGTGGAGCTGGACATTTTCAAGTCTGGCTGAGAGCTGAAGAGATCAGGTTTGCTAGTTACAGAGCAAGTTAAGTACGGAGTCCTGTAGTATCCAGGGGAGGAGTAAATACACACGACATACACAGACACCAAACCGGTAAGACATAAAACAACAAATGCATCCCACCACTGCTACCCTTCGACAGCCCAACATGAGATTAAAAGTGCCAAATTACAGTCAACAAAAATATTCCTGCTTTCTGTCTGGCCCACAGAGTAGTAGGCAAAGTGGTTAAAGATTCATTGAAGTCCTAATGGGAATCCCACTGTCATATAGTGGTGTATTTACCCTGAACTACTACTATAAATATCCACTATACAATAACAACAACAATTCAGAAGCTCCACAAACTCTGCTTACTTTACTCCATCCACGGGTGCCTTCACCCCCATTACATCATCTTCTCCTGCCCCAATGCAAACGCCGCTCCCTTCGGAACTACAAAGCTCTGCACCGATCCCGTCCATCCCTCCTTTAAGCATCTTGAGGGCAGCCTCGGCGGCCTTGTGCTTAGCAGCCTTCTTGCTGGGCCCCTGGCCGGTGCAGCTGATATCGCCCACAGACACGCGGAAAGTGAAGTTGGGCTGGTGGGCTTGACCCTCCGCCTTCAGCAGGTCATACACGGGGGTCTTGCCTATCCGCGTTCCATACTCCTGCAGCAAACTGATGGGCGTCTTCCCGGGGTTCACAGCCAGCATTTGCTCAATACTGTAACTCAAAGGAAACAAAGTTGGATGTCAATAAATTAATTAAATTAATAAATTACATTAATCAGCTGTCATTCGTAGCAATCTGACACGACAAATTGGTCGGCTTGGCTAGAAGAGCATAATCAGACGAATTGTGAGTACCGGATTAGTCAACGCGTTAGACATGGATGGATTATGTTACTTTATGGCCTGAATGATGTCCTTGTCAAATACCGTTAAAACATTATGCATCGAAGGCACCAAACGCATAACCCCAAACCGCTCTCTAAGTAAGCAGTAACCAAACAAAATATATAATTTTAAAAGCAAAAACATCACCCGTATGACCCCCGCATGTCGCATGTCTCCTTACCTGGAGCACCCAGAGTTTCTCTTGCAGCTGCCCAATGTTTTCTCGTCGTTCATTCCCTACTTACGAAACAAAAGCCAAACGTTTCCGGATTACAGACCCACATGTGACAAAGCAATCGGTTTCATCGGCGCTTCCCACAGCAACGCTGAGAGCGACATGAAGGACAAATTGCCCTATTTACATCGGCCGTTGCGGGGCATTTCTAACTGTATAATTGCAGGGAGGACATTATACTTGAAGTCCTTGCGGTTCCTGCACACGCAAAGGAACCGGCCGAACAAGCCGTGTTTTCATTGGTCAACGCGTAGCAACCTTCCTCCTCGTAGGGTTTAAATTCTGACCAATCACAGCGCGCAGAAGCCATTGCCATATGAGTCAGAGATGCTTAATAAAAGCAGATCTTGCGTTTTTCTCCATCGTAATTTTTGTCCATCTTTTGATGATTGCACCGATATCCAGTAATATTGTTCTGACGAGTTGAGCTACTTTGTCGAGTTAGCATAGTGCTAATCGATAGTGCTAATCGATAGTCCTATCCCTAACCTTAACCCCAAAGAACCCCTAAAACCCCTAGAACCTAACCCTAATCCCAAAACGGTGGAACTGCACATGCGCAGAAAGGCTCAATATCACGTCTCGATAGGTAGCTCGTCTCGATAGGTAGCTCAACTCGTCAGAACAATATCAACAAGTGCAATTAAACAGAATGATTTTTTTTCTGGGATACAATATGCAGAAAAAGGTGTATTCTTTATGTGACGGTTTACATGAATTTGTTTAGACCTATAGAAATCATTAGTTTTCTTTTAACCATGCCAATGATTAAAAGTGTGGCTTTATCTCGTCCTTTTTTGATTGTATACACTATTATAGCATTTGTCTACTGCATCCATCCTCCTATCCATCCATTATCTATACCCGCTTGTCCTATTCATATTCTCGGTGGTCTGGTAAATGTGCTATGTTATTCAAAATCATGGTATTGTTAATTCCGGTATACATTCATGAAACTAAATCGTCTGCTGTATGTTAGTCGCAGTTTAAAGAAACCTTCTCACTTCACCCTTGGTGGGTGGCGCAACTGCCACATGACAAGAGGCTTTCTTGCAATTTGTAGACTGCTGGTTTAAGTAATCTGTAGGCAACGTCTTATAAGAACGTGATGCATAGCATGTAATTTCATTCGACAATAAATCTCTCATATTTAATCTTCACTTTTAAGCAGTACTATAGTATTAAAAAGTAGAACTAAAACATCTAGATTAGGAATTGTATTACGTTGTTACATCGTGGCCGACATAGATTACCTTTCAGAAAATCATTGTGGGAACATGGTGACTGTGATGTAGCTAAGTATCCTGACGCAAGAGGGCAGCATTTTCTCGCAGGTAATTTGCCAATGTATTTCAACTGACAAAAGAAAAATCTGTGTGGTAGGCAACTCCAGTCCTGCAGGGCCGCAGGGGTTTCTGGTTTTCATATATCTACAGATTGTTATTTCTTGCTCCAAATGAAATGTGGACTCTTCATAAAGGGGGCTGAAACAAACAAACAAACAAACAAAAAACAAATAGACGACATATTACTTATGTCCTGCTTTCACCTGTGTCTATTTCTGACCAACCTGAAGGTACCCACCTCCCTCAGCTACTCTAAAAGGATGCATATGGGAACTGAGAGCAGGAAATAAATACAATAATGCTACAGTATAGTGGCCTTAAAATATATTTCTTTTTTCTATTCACAAGCAACTGGCATCCTTTCCAGGGTGTCCCGGTGCCGTAGTCCTCCTGGGATAGGCTCCAGCCTTACCACAACCCTGTACTGGATAAATGGATTCAATAGATGGATGCATATACTACTAGTCATTATTATTATTCTCGTTGAACATTGCAGACATTTCAGAATGTCTGTAAATGAATAAAAAACGTGACTCAAATAGCACTCAGTAATTTTATACAGTGAATGGCAGCATAAATGATGTAGCCCTATGTCATTTTAAGAGCTTTGTAATTGCATTGCAAAATGCTGATTTGCGATCACATTTGTAATACATTTGTTTTGACTCATTTTGTTAGTATGCATGTTATGCCTGTTATTGTGTTAATCTGTTGATGAATCGTGGAGTTAATGAGTCTAAGTCAATGCCCAGAGTATGATGGACCATTTTAATTAAGTCTGGGTCAAAAACCATAGCACATTCTGAAAAGATATCATTGAGAAACAAGTATAGCTAAATGAACAATTTTTTCCTTCCCCAATATGATGTGTTTCCTTTTTTGTGTGTGTTTTGATCCTTCTCCTGCGGCCGGGCTTCTCTGTGGCGAGGCGCGGGTTCGAATGGCGCTCCAGTGTTATTTTTGGCGGCTGCAATGGTTGGTGGCTCTCGGGGAGAGAGGAGACAGAGGGGGGATAGCTCCCGTCCAAAACCGAGACCGTTTAAGGGATTTCTCATCTGAAGGAATAGCTCCGTAATGATCAGGAGTCATTATGCGCGCACAGAAACCAGCGATGCGCGCACATGCGGTGCAATACGCTTTACCTCCTCCACGCGCCACGATAAGCGATGACACGTCATATTAATGAAATTAAGAGTAAAGATACGCTTTCGTCTATGCGAGACACTCTCCTCAGACACGAAAGAAGACATTCATACTTGGATACATATACATAGATCCAAGTTTTTTTTTGCCTTATGTTACTTTATAACGTTAATTCGGACAACTTTAATAAAGGACAGATTTTCCTTTCTTTCTTAAAAGACTGACAATTTTTGTATCCCGTCAGACACCCCCCCATACTACTCTGTAACATTTTGTCAAAAACAGAGCTTTTCTTACTTTACTTACTTGGCCGAGCTTCAAGTGAATATTATTATTTTATTTTATTTATTTATTTTTCTGTGGTGAGTGTGTGAGCCTGTGTGTGTGCGCGTGTGCGTTAGGCCGCAGAGATATTTGAATTTCTTCAGGATATTAAATAAACATACAGCGGCAGCAGCCCCAGCAACACGCCGCCTGCCAGTTGGATGGGGGAAGGGGGGGAGCTGCGGCCATGACTTAGGGGGGGTTAGCGGCTGTTGGTCAGGGCCCTAGCCGGACACACTGGCGCCTCGTGCTGGAGGACTTCTGAACCACCACACTCCTCCGTCTCAGCCCTGCCAACCCGGCCTCTCTCTCTCTTCTAACCCAAATTGCTCCCTCCCTCCCTCCCTCCCTCTCTCTCTCTCTCTCTCTCTCTCTCCTTCATACACACACACACACACACACACACACACATACTTTCCTTCTCTCATCCTCACCAAGTTCATCTCCATCTTATGTTTGTCTGCATTTCTCTTGCCCCATGTTGTCAAATTTGACTTCCATTTATGTAAAAAAAAAAAAGTTCCTGTTAATCAGCTAAGCCCTTTCCATCATTTTCTTTGGTACTTCGTTCATTTTCCTCTCGCGTGTTTCCCCCACATGCTCCCCCCCCTGCATGCGCGCACCCTTCCCCTTAAATCCCTTGCCTTTTAAAATGTTCCTAGGAAGTCTTTAGTGGCTTACAATTTTAAAAAAAGGAATGAGGATGGTTTGGGCAGCACGTCAGTCGGAATACCATAATATCATCAGATACCAAAGAGCACTTTTTTTATAGTAAGCATTTTTTTGAAAGAGAAACTACATCTGTATGTGTTATGTGTGTCCTGGAATTACAGCTAGCTACCAGTTTTGTCTGACATGAATAAATGCAATATCCTATTCAATTTTCTTTAAAAAAAAAAAAAAAAACCTGAAAACGAGACATTTTATGGTAGCTTATGCAGATGAAGACCAGGGAAAATATAATTGAAATAAATACATTACATTTATTGTCTCATTTATGAATATCTTTTATGTTTTAATTTTTAACTTAAATTTGATCTGATTATCAACTTTTATCTGATTCACAGATATAAAGTCATTGTTTTGCTGTGGTGAAATAAATATTTCAGCTTTATTGAAGCTGTTTTCACAATTAACTTTTTTTATCATCTGAAAGTGTTGCTGAATATTCATGATGAACTTCATTAAATCATTTTTCAATGCAAAAAGAAACAGACACCTACTATGTTCCATTTCAGACATGCATAACTTTGCATTGTCCGGAAACTTGGTTCGGCCTGGTTAATGTGAGACTGCTTAGGGAATCAGCCTGGTTAGTATGAAACTGGTTAGTGTGTCAGCCTGGTTAGTATGAAGCTGGTTAGTGTGTCAGGCTGGTTAGTCTGGAACTGTAACAGAACTAAAACCTTGACAGAACAAAGGAAGTCTGCATATTTTAAATGGTCCATAATATATGCAACATTATGCTGTTTTGGGGGGAGGGGGGGGGATCCACAAGATGGCAATGATTAAACGGGACATAAATAATTTACAAATCTCTGCACACATGTCAGACAGCCATTAAAAACACGCCCACCCTTCCCCCAGCTATGAAACCATTACTTTCAAGTTATCCATATTAACAATTATCTTCCCACTAAATAAACACTCCTAAGTACTGGACTGTATTGCTAGTTCCTTAAAAGTTATGAAATGCTGCTCAAGCCAAGGTTATAAGTTCATCAAATGTATGTGGGATGTTTAAATCTCACAGACAAAAGGCCCATTCAAGCAACAGGAACCCTATACAAATAGCCATTGAAAAGTCTGATAAAGTTAAAGGAAGTCATAAGCACAGCTATTGTCCTGCAAGTGTCGTGGGTCATGTTGCTCACGACGGGCATCAATCTCTCGCCTTCAATATCAAATTGGAATCTTTCCGCCTTGCCTTGCATCACCTAGGCCTTACCTACTCTCCTCGCACCCTAACTTGTAAGTTCACTCAGGTCAGTCTAAGGTCTTATCTTCTGACATTATCTGGGGCTGGTGGTTCCCAGGCCCCCCCAGGGCTCACTGCTCCCCATCAGACGCCAGAAACCCCAATGAGGAGTGCTTGCCACACCCGTGAACACCTGTGCCTCTGTATTGTTTTAAATGGACCCCCCCCCCCCCCCCCCCCCCCCCCCCCCCCCCCCCGCCATACCCAGGGGCATTGGGGAGTTGAGACTATAGGAACTAGCATCATGAATACAGCTGTCAGTACATCACCAGCAAAAGGCGGAGGGGGGTGGTGCCTAATTCATTTATAGAAATACTAATTTTTTATAATAATTGTAGAAATGTAAAGCAAATACAGAGAAAACGTAGCAGTACAAGAAAAAATTAAAAAAGAACATGAGGAAAAAGCAGTAATAACACAAAATATGCAACAAGGCACATTGCCGTAGGAAAGGTAAGTTAACCTAAGTGCAAAGTGTCAGTCTGACCATGTCTGAGAACATGTCAGCCTTCCGGATGGTAACTGAAGCTTCCCTGTGAAAATGACGTTAGAATAACCGTGTTTACGTTTGAGGTTAATTAGGTTTTCGAATATATATGAAAACAGAAACTGGACAAGAGCGATATTATATCATTTGTGACATGTCACTTTTGTTTGTTTGGAAAACAAGTTCCAAACCATGCAGCTCACAAACAGTACACAAGATGTTACACAGTAGGTGTATTGTATGTAGAAGCACAATCTGGTCGTGTGGTTTTCAACCAAAACATGCTCTTGCTTAATTTTTAAGTGCTCAAGATTGCAGTAGGCCTATTTTTCCGATACAGAATGTTGGTACAGAAAGATCATAGCATGATTATTGATAACTGGGAATTTAGCCAACGTTTAATGGTCTTCTCAAAGTTGGCAGCAAATATTCTTAGTATCACGTTCATTGAACGTTATTTCCATATTTCGCTTTTTTTACAAAGGTTCCGTCAACATTAACATGATAGCATTATTATCTGAACATCCTTTTAATGAAATTGAATTGAAAAATATTGTTTTAGCCCGTAATAAAATATTATTTTGTAAAACTGCTACACGTGTATACTGCAAACACACCATCCAATCTTAGCAGAGTGCTACCCACTGCTGTACCATATCCATTATTTCTTGGTATTTCTTATAGCTCTTAGTGCAATAACGTTCTGGGACCATCAGGAAACCTGGACACTTCGAACGTTTCTGTACCTTAATTGTGATACTCAGTAAACGTTCCTAGAACGAAAAATTGTTAGCGGGGTTTCATATGTATATTTAGGCTATACGGGGAAGAAATTCTCGAAATGAGAAATTATCAAACGTTGAACCAAGAATAAAGAGCGAAAGAGGGGTTTGGACATGTGGAACAGTTTTGTCCAGGGTTTCTCCTTTTCGCACGTGTGGCAGAATATATTTATCTTTTTATGACCGTATTTGAAGCGACTGTTAACTCTTCCTGGCTTCCAATATAAAAAAATAAAAATAAAAAAGGTTACCGCTGCCACCGCCGTGATATAAATAAGGAAAAAATACCACCGGGAAAATTTAAAAGCCATTTAGTGACCCTCTCCTACCCCCATCCCCAATGTCCTGACACACCCCACCCATTCCCCCCACCCCCTGCCTTTTATGTTGCGGACACGACCGCGCACCCACTTCAGTCCACCGTAAACATGTCAGTCCCTGATGACAGAGCCGGCCCGAGGACGTTTTATATAAATTGACCTCAAGTACAGCTCATTAGATGCACTAAATTGGAACCATGCAGCACAAGACGTGTAGAGAGACGTCCGGGGGGTTCGGTTTGGTGGGGTCGGGGGGGATAAGACAGGTCTATGTGTTAACGCGGTATCTTTTTTTTAAGTTGCATTTAGCTATGATGGCAACTTTTCGTTATTCTCGCGGGAAATGGAAATGGCGTCCCAGTCCTGTAAACTGTCCCCTGAAACCCGCATTAAGATACCAGAACGGTTATCGCCAAACTGTCTGCTCTAAAGCGAATAACGACGGTGACAATGGTCAGTTCATTTAAGTTAATATCATAGCTGACGTCTAAAGAGATGCAACCACTTCTGACATCTGACTTGTGATTATCTGTAGTTGGTGGTCTGAGATGCTCCTATACAGCAGCCTATGTCTCTTTCGCAATCAAAATCAGAAGCAGGATCAGCTTGAAAAGATTTTTTTTATGCATTTGGTGCTCAATACAGTATTATTAATGTCCAATAGAATACGCAATGCATTTGAAAATATATATGCCATATATGCGAGTTATTAAAAAGGGGAGACTTGTTGAATTATTTCATTTTATATAAAGAAAAAGATCAATGACACAACAGAAAAACCATGCTTTCCTTTAAACTTGAAGTTGTACTAGTTTACGAAATATCAGTGGTGTCTGGGGGAATATTAAGTTAGGCAGGAAGATTACTGTATCACTTCTAACAACTGACCCCAGTCTTCCCTACTTACAGTGTATGTATCTCTGAAGTTTTTATTTTGCACCAGTCGGCAGTTACATAACAGCACTCTTCCTTATTTCCTCAACCCAGCTAAATATTACGACTCCTCACAAGCGTCAAAACTCGTTCTGTCTGTCAGTCTCTTTCCTGGTGTTTGCTCTTTTATTTGGATATTAAAAAGTGTGTTCTGACTCACAGACTTTCCGCTAAACCTGTATTAGGATGGTCCCCCATGCCCTTAAAGGCCTTTGTGCCCTGCATGCTCCTAGCCCCCGTGGACGTAAGCTCGCTCAGTTTGCTGTCACGCCCGCCTGTGGCGGCTCGCTCAGGCCGTACAGGCCTCATTCTGCGCCTACACATGGGTCCTTCATCAACATTACGGCCCCCGACTGTCTCCTGCGTGCGTTTTCATGGCTTTATTGAATCCCTCTCGGCAAACGCCTTCTCAGTTTCATTCCAGAGAACAAAGTGCTTCCCCCTATCCCCCCCCTTCTGCCCCGCTACGTTCACATAGGGGCAGGAGTAATTGCCCCTCTCAGACCATAGAGTAAAGCAATTGTCACAAGTGTAACTACAGTGTCTGCCTGAAAGGGGTCATTGTGCGGCCTGGGAGTTCACCTCAGTGCGCTTCTTTGTTTGTGCTACAAAGGGTAATTAAGGCACTTGGTCAGCCATGGGGGGGGGGGTTCAGGGTGGTGATGGAATAGTCTGAATACAGAAGGGAGAGACAGAAATTATGAAAGATACACAAGCAGCTGGCAAGAGGAGACACAAAGGAGATCTGGGGAGGAAAAGGCAAATGAGGAAGGGCAGATAAACGAAATAAAAGAGAGGGAAGAGGGACAGGGAAGGGGGGGAAGTCAAGAGAGGTTAAGGGAACCAAGTTGGGACTCTTCAAGCGTTCGGTGCGCTGTGGAGGGTCTGGGCGCAGCACCGGAGACCAAATGTTTGTACTGTGATGAGGTTTGCTGTACAAACACGTTCCGTCCATGGTGGGCCCATTTGAGTGGTGTGGTGTGGTCATTTCTGAATTACCTTAGGAAAAAAGATACGCCCCCCCCCCCCAAACCCTCATTGGGTTTCCTTATTTTTTATGATCTCCACAGGGTCACTCCAAAAATGTGAATTTCTTGCAGTTTGTTAAAGTCGTTAAATCACCACCAACCATCAGTCATCATTTTCTAATTGCACATTCACTCATCAGTTTCATAAAAAATTCATTCCTCACGTCAAATTTCAGAATGTAATTTTTTTATTTGTGCTTTTTCCCAAGTGAATAAAGAATTGCTTCCTGTCAAGTTGTGTTTTTTTTTTTTTTTACAAACAGATGAGTTACAGTGAAGAGGTGCAGCACCTCCACAGAAAGCATCCGCGTGATACGCAGCATTGGATCACACGCTGGATTACGACAACAACAATTAAACATAAAAAGGTTCCATCTCCCTGCGGCAACATTACCTAGCTGAAAGTAGTAACCGCTATTTACAGATCACATGTTTTTAAACGTTCAAACAATAATGTAAGGAATAAAAAAAAAACACAGAAAAACAAAGACCATTTTCTGCGTACTCCTTAATATTGATGGGGAGTACATTTTAGTTTTTTTTAATCGTATAACATATATTTACATATTGAATAATTTTTGTATGTACTTCATAAGCACAAAAGCACCATTCAATAAAATTTAAATGTTACATTTTTAAGTAAACATATTCAGATGTATGTATTTGAATAAAAAGAACAATAGTTAGCACCTTCAGCACCCGACAGCTTAGCCAAATCCTGTGATCTACAATAATAATTACTACTGCTACTAATAGTAGTGATAGTTATATATTATTTTGTATTTAAAATATTTAGAATATGATTTTTGATTATAGATAAGCTGTGTGGTATGCAAATGGCCATTATTCAATAATAATATTAATAATGACAATAATAATAAAAATACTTCACACATTTTGGTTTGTTAGAATATTGTGAGAAAACAAATAAATACATCTAGAAAGGTATACATAAAACCAATTAAGAATAATATGTACACTTTTTGAGAGGTTAATTAAAATAAAAATTAAATATGGGAAAAGTAATCAAAATAGAAATGCAACTATTTCAACTATGCGAGTAAAATAAAGTCACAATTTAAAAATTAAACAGCCGTGAGACAGAGCTAATCATCGAGATATATAAATAAAAACCTAAAATCAAAGCACCTGCATTCCATTTTGTTAACTAAGACAATTCAATAAATAATAGAACAATCTTCATTTACTAAGTTTAATCTATGGCCAGGTACCATCAAACATGCCATTAAATTAAACAATACCTGTAAGAAGTCAGAATTTATTCTCTTGTATGCAGCTAGAATCTGCTCATAAGTTAAGATATAAATAATAGACGTGAGTGAAGAATCAATTAAATAAGACACAAGAGAAAAGCTTTCGAACAGAACAGGCAAACACACAACGAACACAGCAAACGACACTGAACAACCCAGAGAATCTAATCGGCAAATCTGTTTGACCCCAGTCATGATTTCTCGCTAAGGTGTCGTTGTGCTGCGGTTAAATTAAGAACTGATGAGTGCAGCAGTGTTGCTATAAAGGCAAGGGAACCTGGCATCTTTCCACAACATTTCCATGGCTATGTTGGATTCTAACCAGAACCATAAGTCTGAAGTTGGTCTTAGGGTTTGGGTTGACTTTAATGAGTCTTGTGAAAGTCATTACCTCTGTTTTTTTCCTTTTAAAAAATTGGTCTTAGCTTTCACCCAATCGGAAATGGCCGTTTACCACCATTTTTGGCAAAGGTAAAAAAAAATACCACTCAAAGAGGGGGTGGGGACCAGTAAACGCCTTCTTTGCCTGCTTTTCACTTGTCATCCACAGGAGGCAGCACCATAACAGAGGGGCCGCCTCCCTGACTGACGACAAGCTAATCTGGCATTATTCTGTCGATTGTTTCAATGTACATTAGACATTTGACCCAGTGGTGTGTGTCCACATGTGCATGTGCTAGACACCAGAACCGCTACTCTCTAGTCCAGGGGTGCCCAACTCCAGTCCTGGAGGGCCAGAGCTCTGCACATTTTTGGGCTTCCCCTCATGTAACACACGTGATTCAACTCTTTGTGCTAATTACCACACAGCTCTTCAGCTGAATCATTTATGTTGGAACAGGGAAAGAACTAAGCTACACAGGGCTCCGGCCCCCCAGGACTGGAGTTGGGCACCCTTGCTCTAGTCCATTGGCCGGGGCTCTGCTGTCAGTTTCATTCAGCAAAGAACCTCATAGATCTGCAATTAAAACAATAGCATGACTTTCTGCGATTAAAAGATTAAAGCAGGCAGCTCCTTTACTGTGGGGCACCGGGGGAACCTGTAATAAGCACCAATACTCATGAGCCGACCCACAGCAGCCAGTTAGATCTCCAGGAGATTGCTGGCGGTTTCCACACCATTTCCTGGCTTCTCCTCGCCGGTGTTGACCGTGTCTGGGACGATGTTGGCGGAGGTGGCTGGAGCGGCGTCTACAGTCTCTTCGCCCCTGGGGTTGGGCTCGCCCTCACCGGCCACCTTGCCCTGGAGGGGGGCCTCTGCATGCGTCTTCTGGTGCTTGCTGAGGTGGTCGCTGCGCGTGAAGCGCTTGCTGCACAGTGGGCAGGTGAACTTCTTCTCACGTGTGTGCGTGCGCACGTGGCGCTCCAGCTCGTCGGAGCGCGTGAAGCGCTTGCCGCAGAAGAGCCAGTTGCAGACGAAGGGCCGCTCGCCCGTGTGCCAGCGCAGGTGGGCCTTCAGGTGCGAGGCCTTGCCGTACACCTTGCCGCAGCCGGGGATGTGGCAGCTGTGCACGGGCTTCTTGCGCAGGGAGGCCGCTGAGGCCCCCAGGCGCTCCAGCTCCTGGCAGTTGGGGCAGTCGCAGGAGGAGCGGCCCGGGGTGCTGCCCCCTCCATAATTTCCCGATCCGGATCCACGTGTCGGCTTCAGTCCCACAGGAGTCTCCATGATTCCCGTGCCGGGAACCGGCTTGGGCTTATACATGTCCTGCGGCAGCACGTGTTGGGAGGACTGGAGCAGGTGGGAGGAGGAACTGAGCCCAACGCCGGGGTAGGGAGCAGGGTTGAGGGGTGCGAAATCAGAGCTGTAGCTGGGCAGCTGGGGGCTGAGGGAGGCCTGGGGGGCCACCGGCTGCAGGGAGCCCTGTAGGCCGTCTGGTTGGCCCTGGGCAGCGCTCAGCCAGCCTGAGTTTGGGTGTACATCCCACCAGGAGGAGGTGGCATTGGCGGGTGCTGCCGTGATGCCGGGGTGGATGCCCGCCTTGTACCAGGAGCCATACGGGTGTGCCATGTCCAGTGAGGTGTAGACACTGGTCAGGCAGTCGGCAGTGGCGTGGGCCTTGGACGCCAGCAAAGACGGATCCTGGGAGCCCGAGTTGGTCTGGAAGGAGTGGGAGAAGGGGATGTACTCAGAGCTGTAGCCCCCAGCTGGCTGTGGAGGGCTGCCGGAGGGGGTCAGGAGCCCACCGCCTGCATTGAAGGAACCAGTGTAGGAATCCGGCAGGCCGTCGCCAACCCTCCCACCCTTAGGGGCCTGGAGGTCCGAACCCAGGCTGTAGGGCTTCTTTCCTGGGGCGGCGTTGCCCGTCTTGCCAGGCGTTGCAGAGTCCCTGACCGGACTGGTGCTGCCAAACTTGTTGCAGGTGGCTGTCAGCATTGCCAGGGGACTGGAGCCATAGCGAGCATCGTCCTGCTGGGACAGAGGAGGACATTTTAGCAGGAGGTGGTGCTACTACTCAGCTGGAGGGAGCTCATGGCTCTCCTCCCGCAAGAGTCACACCTGTGGAGTAATACATGGTCCCCCGTCTCATAATACGGCAAACGAAAAATTGTACTGATGTGTTCAGCGAGGATTCTGAAAGACCACATGCTTTTAAAGAAGGGGCCAGTTCAGCTTGTCGTGAAACTAAAGCAAAGCTAATTGCTTTCGGCTGTAAAGCTAAAAATACCTGTTGTTTCTGTGAATTAGCTGATTATCATACTGTTACTGCACTCATTGTCAGTTGAAGTTTAACCACCAGTGCCTCTCCTGGCATTTCACACTGCACCTGGCACTGGTGGGGGGGCTGAGGGTGGGTCTCCAATAGAGTAGCTTGCCAGGGAATGCCAGCAGTGAACATGGTGCCCCAGAGGGCTGCCTATGTCATCTAATGAGTTGACAACTACAATTATACATATATGACAACTAACAGCATGATTTAAGATGAGACGAGGTAAACTTTATTGATCCCCAAATTATTGATTTTATTTATTTAGTGCGTCATTTGTGAATGTTGTGCAAAGATTTCCAAAAATTTATCAAGTCCTTAAGAGAATCGTCAACGTGAGAGATGACAGAAGGTGTGTGTTATGTTTCAAATACGTTAGCCTCTTTTTATTACCATGACATCAGAAGTTTTGTTGATAACATCACTATTGAAGGTTGCCATGGTAACGAACACCCACAGTGACACCTGACTTCTCTAACTCCTGTTTTGATTAGAGGTAGACATCCAGCATTGCGCTCTGCCGAAGAAAATTACCGTTATGGCTCCAGTCAGCAGGACCCGCAAAACTGCCTTGTTTTCATACATCAGGTTGACAATAGACTGAACCACTAATTACACCTGTCTGTGTTCTCATAGATGCTGCAACTGACTATTAAATCTATTATTTATTTTCTGCAAATGAATCTTAATGTGTGTACAAACAGTTATCTTGGAGGTTATTAAAGGTGAAGATATGACATCTGATGCATGTTTACTTACTTTAAACCCAGATTTGTCTATGAAACTAACTCTGCTTTACACATAGGTGAGCTGGTATCCTTCAAATCCGTTGACCGGCATGCAGGCTGTTCTTCATTCTGATTGGATGCTAGGGCGTCTGATATACGTAATTTCCGATTTCAAGTTATGGGCCGTTTTTAAATTAATGCAATCACAATAAAAGGTTATTTGCCCACTTTCAGGCCGCAGCATCAGTAGGTTGCTCGTTGACTGCGCCGCAAATGACATTTAAGAGTATAAACGGAGAGAAAAGCAAAGGGGATTTTAGGCTGTTAATTTAATCAGTACAACCGCCACTGGTCTTCAGTTGAAATTTCCGTATGGCTTTTATGTGGTTCAATTATCTCCCGGCTTTATGTTAGGAAACCACCGTGGATTCCGTAAACGTTTGTCAAGAGAATATCTTAATATAAGCAGAATCAAGGACTGGAAATTAAGCTGTTTTGTACGACTTGCCTGTAGTTATGTCAACAGTGCGCGTTGGAAATGAAGTTATAACATTATTCAGTATTTTAAAGAGTATTGTATGCTAAATATATGACTAGAGGCCATTTGTAATGAGTTTAGCGCGTAATTTCTATTCGAGAGTTGAACCCTGCATCTGAATATGAAATGTTCCTCAAATCAGTAATAATAACCAGACTCACTGTTATTTATGTCATGTAAATGTCGCTATATAAAGACTTTTTTTAACGTTATCCAAGCCTTCCCATCTTTTTTAGGGAAAATCGTTGAATAAAACGATAGATTCATATTCATAGATAATGGATATTAGATTATTTTCTCTCTTGACTCATTCCAATGAGGGTCGCTGACGCAGCGATGAGCTCCACCATTAAACTCGGACGTATTACGCTGATCGCCTCTTCATCCCACTAAGCGCCTGCGGTCGGCACGGCTTGTCCTGCTTGTCTACTTCCCATTTCCAGGTTAATTGCATCTTATTACAGAGTTAAACGACAGGATCTGTCTCCCACGGGCGGCAAAGTTAAACTACTTAGTAATATATGAGTCACCAAATGATTATAGCAAAAGGTAGCACACTAATAGCAAATCTGCGAATGGACAGAATTAAACTGATTTTTCAGTATCTCCCTGGATGCAAAGTTCATTTATATATTTCGCAGTATTCACAACCACTCTCGATAAATGGAAGTATATAGGCTATATGTTCCCAATACCTACCCATGAAACATATGTCATTGTTATGTATATGTTACATGTGTAAAATATAAATTTATTAATGTGCACGCACATAGCCTACGTTTTTGGCATAAATTACAATACAAAACTTCAGTTCCTCCCTGAATATTGGCCTATCACCAGCGTGGCATTGAACTGGCCGAAATACAAGTCAACATAAAGCACCAGTAAATCTGAACCTTTCACCATCGATTATTGTGATTACGCGAAACATGGGAAACCGGCCGAGGTGAGTTAGCCTATTTTCAGAGTTCCTTCAGCTAAGACCTGAGTCCTGAGGCACAACAAAAACCTGTAGGTTTCAATCTCTTGAGGATGAAACACCTGGTTAAGGAACGAAAGAATACAAGTAGCCTACTGTACTTATTCATTTTTCGATTTTACACCTTTATTTTGAACAAAGAAAGGAAAGTATCATTAAATTAACCTTTAACTATGAATCTAGATGTAGGCCCATGTTAATGAATTACATCGTATTTGTGGCTCTTTGACAGCTAAAACGTGCCGCCTAAAGCGGCACTGCACACGATGTCCCGGGAGTGAGGAACAGAACAGCGCCTGTCAAAAGGAAATCTGAGAAAATATCCAATGTCCCAGTGTGTGATAAGGTTGGGCTATGTCCTCAAGAACAAAACGCTTGTTTGCCGGACCTTGAAGGATGTTTCGGATTAAGTCAAACACGTCGTCTTTTTATGCGCATTATTTTTGTAATGTTTCCTAAATTGTGTAATATGGTCACTCGGCACATTATTTCATGTCCGTTTTTCTGCTTAGACGTGTCGACATTTCTGCTGCTAATGCAGCTACATATAGGTGTAGATTCGCAAGTGCAAGGTTTCGTTTTAGTTTCTATAGTAATGGGGAATCAAAACAGGTAGGTCCTATAGGTATAAAAGAACAAATGAATGACAACTTGACAAAAACTGGTGGCATATTGATTTTAGCGGGCTACCCAGGACATGGACTGAAGGATATAAAGCCAATATTTTGGGTAGCTGGAAGAATTTTAAAAGTTTTCTTAAAAGTTGGCTACGTAGGACAGTCATGTAAAACGAGCGAAATATTAGATAATAAGTGTATTACGTACCTCCAGAATAGACGCTGCCATCCCTGAGAATGAAATCCCAAGAGCTTTAAATAAATACGGAGGGGGTCTCAGCTCGCGGTCCCGGGACAGTTTAGAGTAGGAACTCCGACTAGAGCGCAGGCACTTCTATGAGGGATGCAGGTCCCGCCCCCTAATTACAGGCTCAGGGAGCTTTGAAGAGCCGCCAAGACGCAATAAAAAAGGACGTAGGACAGTAGAGGGGCGTGGAGGAGGCAGGAATGAGGCTCCGCTCAGAGTGACCACACCCCCGGAGAGTTCCGCGCGCAGACAAATCAGGACGCAAAAACGGAAAAAGTGACCTGATAATATGGGAGCATTGCCTACTGTTAAAAAAACTGACCTGAGACTAAGGGCCATTCTTAAGGGGTCAGTTAAACTAATAGTTGTAAAAGTAAAAAAATATATCTATAAAACACATTATTCTATCAGACTACGCATAGCACTGATACGATTCTCATATTTGATGGTATGAAAAATAACTTAAGTATTCTAACATTTATGCTGCCTGAATCTTCTGGCTTTATTTAGGAGCACGCTTAAATTGTGATTATTATAATTTTTTAATAGTTTTTTTTCCATGTCTGAAGCTTAATTTTACAAACACTGCTAGAAGGCAAACTGTTTACACGAAGTAATTTTAGTAGTAATGTACCCTACCAATTGTTTAACGAAAAGTGTTAGTGGTAACAATTGGATACAAAATATTGTATTTTAAATTTATTTCAGATCAAGCTCTAAGGAGCGAACTGGAATAAGCAACCCACAAAAATAAATCAGCGAAATTAAGATGGTTAAGTTTGCGGTTTCTGTTTGAGATTTTATTGTTTGGTTTCTAAAAACCTCTTTCTGTTTTCAGTATTTTGAGAAACCCAGTGAAGGGATTTTGCAGACTGTGCTTTGAATTTAAACTGATGCAGTCATATAGACTGAACCTTCTACACAATAAAAGAAAAGCGAAAAATTGAATAATGAAAATATGATTTTTTTTTATTAATTCTGGAATGTTTTCCAAACCTCCCCCACATTTTGCACCACAAATTAAAGAAACAGCAACAGCAAACCTAAGTCTGTTCAAATTTGGAAATATTTACGTACCGTCTATGTTATTAAGTTTTAAAACAATTCTCTTTTAAGTATTTTAATAAAAATGTCGTATCAACATAACTGAGGTTAACTTGGGTTCATTTTTTCATTGGATTTATACGCTAGATTGAATATATGGCTAATTAAAGTAGATTTCTTTAGCAGGTGTTACCTGATAGAGGTAGCCTACTTTTTATAAATTAAATTGAAAACATGTATGATATTTATCGGTTACACACACAAACTGTTCCTTTCACGTACTACACTGAATTAAACTTATTTGTAATGCTTGCATCTGAATATCGATTTGTAACACACTTATGGAATTGACACGCAGTGTTCTTAATATATTGTGTGGCTGATCTTTTCATACATCAGGTTGACGGATTTTGTAAATGTCTGACCATTTCATCAGTAGAAATTTAAATCAATAAAACATGAATACGTGACTGTGGTTACAGACAATTTATCATTTTCAGTTAAGATCCAGTCTCATAAAACAGTTAAAACAATTGTGATGTGTTGTATGATTTATATGACTGTTGAAATTTAAATCTGCATGTTCTAATAAGATGTTTATGTATAAATATGGTGACAGACATCGGATAAAATAAATATGTAAAATTTTGTCAGTTAGTATTTCAATAAAATCTTATTTTACTTATCTGAAAAAAGGTAGTAAATTATATTAGGTTGACCATTGGTGGTTTAGTTTATAAGATTAAGATTTCAGAATTAAAATCTAAAGGATAGGGGTATGGCCATAAAGAGAAGCGAGGGCACTTTTGTCTGATCGTTTTGTTTGTTTGTTTGTTTGTTTGTTTACACAGTGACATACATCCACACTGCTACAATCCTCCACTTATATTGTCGATTATATACCGCAGTTCATTCTATTGTATTCGACGTTCAGGAACAATTTAATCTTTTATGTCCGAGTTATTTCTGAATGATTCTCTTTACCAACTGTCTTCATTAGAACATTTATGTTCCAATTGATTGTGTCACATGTTCTTTAAATTCCTTTGTTCTACATTTATTTTTGGAATACTCTCATCCTTTTAACAGTGAACTAAATTTTAAAAAGTATTGACAATCTCTTTATTATTTTCTTTTTCTTTCCACCTGCTCCTTCATTCCTGATTCGGTCTTTTAGCAACCCTGACGTCGTTTTCTGTGTGCTCGCTACTTAATATACAATGTTCTGTATTTTAAATAATTCCTAGTCCTGTCGATAGCTACGCCTTTCCCTCCCTCAATGCATCCATTTAGGCAACTTACGGTCGTCAGACACGTGCTACGTCGCTAGCTAACTGCACATGAACGTGCACAGGAATGTTGTGGGGAAGCAGTACCGTGCACATCAGACACTCTTCGGTGGGGATATGCATATTGTTTGTCAGTGTTTTTTTTTTCTTTTTTCTTTTTTCCACAGCGAAAGATGGTTGAAGAAGAAAGTGCTCGGAGAGTGAGACACGTCACATAAGGGAGACCCTAACATCACTCCTGGCCTTTGCCTCTGTGTGGTCTGTCAATAGCAGGTTGACAATGCAAGCCTGACTCTACTTATTTGTATGTGCAACATGTGAGCACACTCGGGGTCTTATAATAAAGATCTAATTCCCTGTGGCCGATGTATGAGTCAGCACTTTAATCCTTAGTGTTTTAAGATAGATTGAATGTCGAAAGGACCACAGGATGGATCCTGTTACCCTGAAATGATGAACCTGGCTATCACCTCTCAGCTACCTTAAGTTATATAGTAATGAGCCTTTTGGTTACAGCTTCATTAACCTTGCTGAGGGTCTCTTACATCACTGGTTTATTTCTTCACTGACAATAGCTCCAAGGAGGACAGATACCTTCTTATAATCTGTAGCTACTGGGGAGAAACAGGAATTGCGACCTCGCAGGTTATTAGGGCTGGAGACATGACTGCACACACAAAACGCATAAACAAACAGCACAAGCGACCTTCCGGCAGCCGGCCCCGGCTTTCAGTTTCCTTGTGGGCGTCTCTCCTCAAAAGGAGAGGAAAGAAGATTAAAATTGTCGTTGAAAATAAACATGTAATTTCATCCTTTATTTTTTTCCAATTACAAGGCATGGCCAGGGCAGGCCCTCACATGAACAGAAACGCTATATTTAGCAGTCTGTGCTTCAGCTGACCTGCATCTCTCCCTGTTTTGTTTTTGCTAAAGGAGACAGAGGGACACACGCACGAACGTGCACACACACACACATACACACACATACACACACACATACACACACGCACACGTACACACACATACACACGCACACACGCACACATACACACACATGCATACACACACACACACATGCACACATACACACACACGCATACACACGCACACATACACACGCACACACACACACACACGCACAAAAGGGGACTGTGGCGGCCAGACCTTCCACTTCTGTTTGCATTTCACAAGTGGATCATCATTAAATGTATCACCTCTCTCTCTGTAGCTAAATACAGTTGCACTTTATATAAAATACACTTTGCATATTTAATATATGAATAAGTATGTTATGGTTTTATTACTATTGACATTTTAGAATGCAAGTAAATTCCATTGCATTCAAGGATTTGGTTTGGTTTCAACATTGGAAGGGACCAAATCACGCCAAACCTTGGTCCCCCTAAATGCATGTCTTTACCATTAATACCCAGATCTAGACCCTTGGTTGTGTTTAATCCTAGTTATAACTGCTGGAAATTACGTTTTACACAAACTTAATTTCACTGGAGGGCAATATCTATCACAATTATACTACATCCTGATTAATTTCTTTTAGGTTTTACAGGAGATTTTATTCAAACATAATCTCTTACAGTTTTCTTGTCAAGTTGTCAGATTAAGTGTGTGGATAGTTATTTGCTAAAATCTGGTTTAAAAACTGACGCTAATGTATTTTCTTTATCAAAGTTCCTCAGCCTTTGATGACAGTGAAAGAAAACCACTGTAATCTGTGTTCTGTACAGCCAGTCTGAGTGCTGTGACACAGGCATGGTGTAACTAGAACCTTCAATTTGCCCTGATGACCTTTCTGTGGGATTGCTGTCACTGTCTCAGGTCATTTTAGTTTTCATCCTCTTCCCTTTTAGCTGGATTTCTGGTCACACACCAAAAATGCAACGGACAGTCACAGTATCTGATGCGTTCGCTAACCTTTTGTCTCCTTTCACTAATCATTTAAATAATGTAAATGCATTTCGAAGGCAGCCTATATAATTAAATCATGTTGAGACTTGTATTATTCTTGTAAAGATATGAAGGGCATGTTACACTTTTTCACAGCTTTTAAAAATACTTTGAATTTTTTTCCATATTTGATGAGCAATCTGCCCAATAAACATGAAATATGTAATTAAATGACTGAAGGCTTCATCAGAAAGTGTTGCAGCTCAACTCTTCTTGCCATGTTTCTTTGAAAATGATATTTGAGTTGGTCCATTCTCCTCTACAATGCCCAAATGAAATATGATTTCATATTTTCATGACTATTTGATGACTGGAATCAGTAACTGGCATTTATTCTGAAAAAAATACTTTGTGTTCCATCCTTCTGTAATCCAGTCAGGAAAGTGTTGGGAGTCTGTTAGTCTGTTAGGGTCTATTAGAGCCAACAGAATAACATCATATATCTTGGTGTAGGTTCATACTCTGTGGTCCCAACAGTCAGTCTTGGGTCCATTCATAGGTCTTATTCACGTGGTTTAGATATCAATGTTCAATAAAATACAAACATTTATCTTTCTCTCAGACAAGCCACACAATAAATTTGGGATCCTAGTTCCTTAGAAAACCTCCAACCCAAAACTCTTTATAAGCAGGATAATAGTGGCAGTTTAGACTTTTTTTTTATTTCTCTTTTCTACTAGGAATAAACAATATATTTACGTTTACCTTTAACACTGCAAGTTAAATTTAAATTAGTAGGATTCCTAGTGTATTTATCCGTTGCACAGAAAAGCAACAAAAATGTCATACAGATCATCCTAATATACTGGCAATGTCTGTGTTATTCACATAAGGCAGCATTTTTGTTC